ATTTATTTTTATTTTATTTTTTTTATCGCGATTCTGCAACCCCGGTCAGAAACTCTTGCGGGGGTGGTGTTGCGCAACGTCACTTCTCGTTATGTCCAAGCAGTCGTAAGACGAATCTTAAGAACAGCTGAACACGAAGACGCTTCACAGTCTGTTGCCGTATAGCAGCACCCAGCCTGGTGACGATTTGGCTGGTTCCGTGTTCCACAAATCGATTTGACTCCTCGTCCCCTAGACTTGATCGGACGGTTCCTCGATTCATTTCCAGAATAATTTCTTGGCGGACGGCGGCATCAATAGATTACGGCTCATGCAGCCAGCTGTGGCTCTAGGGTTTGGTGTTACGTGTTATTTATGTAGTTTATTGTTAAAAAAAGATTCGGTCACAGTCCCTGTGATCACTGTTACATTGCATGTATGGCTTTATTTTGGTGATTTCGAAAACGTTTTTTGGTTTGGCCATGTTCTTGTTTATTGTAGTACGGAGTTGGACTGATGGCCTTAATCTTAGTTGTCTTGTGGTTGTTGTTGTTGTTTGACTTGCATCCCACTGAGATTTTTGCACACAGCGTTGGTGTATGGTGCTATTTCAGGAATATTTTGATGTTTTTTTCCTGGATTTTCTGTTTGCACAGTAACACATAGTCTTGTGGTTGTTGTTGTTGCTTGACTTGCATCCCACTGGGATTTTCGCACACAGCATTGGTGTACGGTGCTATTTCAGGAATATTTTTATGTTTTTTTTCCCTGGATTTTCTGTTTGCACAGTAACACATAGTTACTTTAAGATTTTTTTCTTGTTCATGTTTTTTTTGTTTGTTGCGCTTGCACCCGATTCAAGAGCCGAATGGCTCACAGGGCTATACCAACATAAACAGAAATGGAACTATGACCGGCTCGTGCCGTTACCCTCGCTCGAGTGGGAAGGCAGCTGCTGAATCGAAGGCGACCTCTGATGGAGAGTCTGCAGCTCAGTCGAGGGCTCCAGCGACGTCGTCACGCCTGGTTTATGAGGACCCCCGTGTGTTATGCTGCACCGGCCTTAGGGGCCGTCCATAAATGACGTCACGCGATTTTGGACGAGTTTTTCGCCCCCCCCCCCCCTCGTCACACGGCGTCACAAAAAGTCAGACCCCCCCTTCAAATATGACGTCACAAAGCTCTGTCCCCTCCCCCCCCCAAAAAAACATGCTTCAAATCGCTTAAAACTATTGTCATTGTAGTGCGTATTTAACGTGGCGCTGCACTCTGATGTTGTAGGAGAAAACATTTATTAATAAGTCTATTTAATAAAGTAGAACGCGTTGTCTATATTTATTTAAAGTTGCGCATTCTGATGTGACGTCACATTTCTGAACCCCCCCCCCCCAAACTCGTCACACATCTTCTTAGTTTTTTCGGTAAAGTCACGTTGAAGAGAAACAACAAAATAATAAAATATATAAAACAATAAAAAATCTCACGACGTTTCGACCATAACTCAAACGGTCATCTTCAGGTGTGTTGGTTTGCATAAATGTATTTTTAAACGGCACATTTATTTATTTATTTAAAAAAAACCGTTAGCGTCACGCGCAGCGATTTGGCAGTTTACCCAGGACTAGTCCATCTATATTTTGAAAAGAGGAGGGGGGAGACGAAATTTTTTATAATGTATGCTGTCTGAAAGCCACTGTAAGCGTGAACAATCAATTAAGAACTGAAATGGTTTATCAAATCTTTCCAATGATTGCTAAGATAGAATCCATCTTCTCGGTTGAAATTGTCTCTGTGCTTGTATATGTGGATAGCCTCATGAACGAATCTCTCATGGAAGCCAGATGGCTTACAAAGAACCTCTGTCTTGGAAAAGTCAATGGCATGTGAGCCTACTGAATTAGAACAATGATCTGCTACGGCCGAGGTGTTGGTCCTACCGTGTTTAAGGTTTGTTTTGTGTTCACGAATGCGGTCCGAGACATGGCGTTTGGTTTCTCCAATGTAACTACTACCACAGAGGCAACTTAGTTTGTAGACACCAGCGTATTGTATGTCCGGAATCACATCTTTTACAGACGGAACCAGATCACGGATTTTATGTAATGTGTTGAAACGGACCTGGATCTTGTGTTTATTCAAGATTTTGGAGATCTTTTTTGTGATCCCAGCAATGTAGGGTAAAGTGATGGTTTTGAAAGGCTCCTCAAGAGGGTTCTTCTTCATGGTTTGAGTGATAGCGTTGCGGATTGTATAGTCGGAGTAACCATTAGCCCTAAGAGCTTGGTGTACGTGCTTGAGTTCACTGCTTATGTGTTCCTGGTCGGATATGCATTGGGCTCTATGATACAGAGTCTTGATGAGAGAATTCTTCTGTGATGGATGGTGGTGGGAATCCGGTTTCAGATAAGCATCCGTATGGGTAGCTTTCCTGTAGACAGAGTGGCTCATTGAACCATCAGGTTTCTTTTTAATTAGGACATCCAAAAAAGGTATCTTGCCATCTATTTCGACTTCCATGGTAAATCTGATGGCTGGGTGTATGGAATTGATGTGGTCGAAGAATTGGTCTAGAGCAGGCCGGCCATGTGGCCAGATGACAAAAGTGTCATCCACGTACCTCTTCCATAAGGTTGGGCGCAGAGTGGCAGTCTGGATGGCGTCAGTCTCAAATTTCTCCATGAAAATGTTAGCTATAACTGGAGAAAGGGGGGAGCCCATTGGGGTGCCCTCAGTTTGTTTGTAGAAAGTTCCATTCCAAGTGAAGTATGTATTGGTTAAACAGTGTCTCACCAGGGGGGGTACCTCAGTATTTAGCCCTTGATGAACCAAGTCTTCAATGATTGCAATGGTGTCAGGTACAGGAACCTTGGTGAATAAGGAAACTACATCAAAACTGACAAGCAGGTCGTCTGGGGACAGGGAAATACCCTTGATTGTCGATACCAGGTGAGTAGAATTTTGTACCGCGGAGGTGGTCTTTCCAGTGAAAGGACGCAGGATTTCAGACAAAAAACGAGCTAGTTTGTAGGTGGGGGAGCTGATAGTAGAGACTATGGGACGAAGAGGTGTATCAACTTTATGTATTTTTGGTAAGCCGTATAATCTTGGTGGCCTGACAGCAGAAGGTTTCAACGAAAACTGTTTAGATTGATCAATTAATGCGGTTGAATCAGAAATTATTTTGTTGGTTTGTGTGACGAGGCTGTTGGTGGGATCTCTTTATTTTTGTATAACTACCATCGTCGAGTAATTCTTTAATTTTGTTGTTGTATTCTATTTTATCCATGATGACAGTAGCATTGCCTTTGTCAGCTGAGAGGACTACAATATCATTCCTCTTTTTTAATTTATATAATTCAAAACGCTCATCTTTGCTGAGGTTGCTAGCTGGCATCTTAGCGTTTTTGAGGGTTGCAGCGATTTCAGATCTTGCTACGTCTGCAGCGATGTGACCCAGGCCCCTGAGAGCAACGTCTACTTGGGCAATTATATCATTAACTGGTATGTGTTTAGGTGTGACTGCAAAGTTTAGACCTTTAGCTAAAACGGATTTCAGACCATCGCAAATAGAACTGTTACTGCGATTAATTACGACTTTATTAACGTCTAACTTTTTGGTGCGCCCAACCTTATGGAAGAGGTACGTGGATGACACTTTTGTCATCTGGCCACATGGCCGGCCTGCTCTAGACCAATTCTTCGACCACATCAATTCCATACACCCAGCCATCAGATTTACCATGGAAGTCGAAATAGATGGCAAGATACCTTTTTTGGATGTCCTAATTAAAAAGAAACCTGATGGTTCAATGAGCCACTCTGTCTACAGGAAAGCTACCCATACGGATGCTTATCTGAAACCGGATTCCCACCACCATCCATCACAGAAGAATTCTCTCATCAAGACTCTGTATCATAGAGCCCAATGCATATCCGACCAGGAACACATAAGCAGTGAACTCAAGCACGTACACCAAGCTCTTAGGGCTAATGGTTACTCCGACTATACAATCCGCAAAGCTATCACTCAAACCATGAAGAAGAACCCTCTTGAGGAGCCTTTCAAAACCATCACTTTACCCTACATTGCTGGGATCACAAAAAAGATCTCCAAAATCTTGAATAAACACAAGATCCAGGTCCGTTTCAACACATTACATAAAATCCGTGATCTGGTTCCGTCTGTAAAAGATGTGATTCCGGACATACAATACCCTGGTGTCTACAAACTAAGTTGCCTCTATGGTAGTAGTTACATTGGAGAAACCAAACGCCATGTCTCGGACCGCATTCGTGAACACAAAGCAGACCTTAAACACGGTAGGACCAACACCTCGGCCGTAGCAGATCATTGTTCTAATTCAGTAGGCTCACATGCCATTGACTTTTCCAAGACAGAGGTTCTTTGTAAGCCATCTGGCTTCCATGAGAGATTCGTTCATGAGGCTATCCACATATACAAGCACAGAGACAATTTCAACCGAGAAGATGGATTCTATCTTAGCAATCATTGGAAAGATTTGATAAACCATTTCAGTTCTTAATTGATTGTTCACGCTTACAGTGGCTTTCAGACAGCATACATTATAAAAAATTTCGTCTCCCCCCTCCTCTTTTCAAAATATAGATGGACTAGTCCTGGGTAAACTGCCAAATCGCTGCGCGTGAAGCTAACGTTTTTTTTTAAATAAATAAATAAATGCGCCGTTTACAAATAAATTTATGCAAACCAACACACCTGAAGATGACCGTTTGAGTTATGGTCGAAACGTCGTGAGAATTTTTTATTGTTTTATATATAATTTATTATTTTGTTGTTTCTCTTCAACGTGACTTTACCGAAAAAACTAAGAATATGAATTACTGCAGTCACGAAAGCTTTAAATCAAAATTCGTCACACATCGTCACAAATGTCTGACTCCCCCCCCAGGTGCGTGACGTCATTTATGAACGGCCCCTTACTGCCAATACGTCCATCTTCTGATCCTGATCCCGTGATGCGTGGCGTGTGCGGGCACAGGCGCGGACTGGTTCGACGTGGAGCTCGCGGTGGCTGTGACGGACGTCAACGACAACGTCCCCGAGTGGCTCATGGAGCCCTTCCCCTTCCTGGGAGTCGTGGCGCCGGACGCTGCCCCGGGCACCGTGGTGTACCGCCTGGCGGCACGGGACGCCGACTCGGGGGCCAACGGCGAGGTCCGATACCAGCTCATCGGAGGTAGTTGCCGGCCCCGCCAAGAGCCCATGTTAAACGCGCCCACGTTGGGCGAGCGTTGCGCCAACGTTGGGCGAACGTTGGGCTAAACGTTGGAAACAACGCTTGGCCAACGTTCCGTATCCACTGGCAGCACCGTGTTGCAACAGGCGTCCGTGCGTGGCCAGGCTTCTGATTGTTGGCGCGCTCCGCGACCCCGGTGCGTAGGCGGGGAGGGCCGCTTCGAGGTGGACGCGGAGTCGGGCGCCGTGCGCACCGTGGGCGGCGCGCCGCTGGCCCGCGAGCGGCCCTTCGTGCTCACGGTGCTGGCGAGCGACGCGATGGGAGCGCAGGGCGCCTACGCCTCCCTGTCGGTGAGCTCGGCGCCGCGCGCCCCGCAGTTCGGCCGCCAGGCATACGAGGTGGCCATCCCCGAGGGCACGGAGCCCAACCGCACGTGAGTAGGAGCCCTCGTCGTCGGCGTCGTCGTCATCCTCGTCCTCGTCACGGTCATCATCATCGTCGTCGTCGTCCTTGTTGAAGCGATCTGGTCATCGTAGTCACCATTGCAACATCGTCATCATCATCGTCGTCATTGGCAGCATCATCACGAGCGCGATTGTCATCGACGTGATTGTGATCTTCACTATAATCATAATCCGCATGCAACATGGGGATCATCATCATCGTTGGCATCAGAATTCGAGTTGTAATGCGTCGCGCGCGCGTGCGTGTCCGCGTGCGTGTGCAGGGTGCTGGTGGTGACGGCCCGCTCGTTCCAGGGGGGTCGCGTGTCCTTCTCGCTGCTGGGAAACCCGGCGGGGCTGCTGGCCGTGGCGCCGCGCACGGGGGAGCTCTCGCTCACGCGCGCCGTCGACTACGAGAGCGAGCAGCGGCGCTACCTCGGGGTCATCCGCGCCACCGAGGAGGCGCCCTCGGGGGGGCTGAGCAGCGAGGCTCAGGTCAGGCTGGGGGTGGGGGGGCGGTGCGGGCGGTGTCGCTTTGAGCCTCGCAGCAACGAGCCACCTGGGTTCGATTCAAGACTCGGGCGTTCTCCGACCTGTTCTGCTGCAGAGTGTGAGTGTAGCAGTGTGAGTGAATGTGTGGAGTCTGTATGTTCTCTGTGTTCTGCAGAGTGTGAGTGTCGCAGTGTGAGTGTGTGTGTGAGTGAATGTGTGGAGTCTGTTCTCTGTGTTCTGCAGAGTGTGAGTGTCGCAGTGTGAGTGTGTGTGAGTGAATGTGTGGAGTCTGTATGTTCTATGTGTTCTGCAGAGTGTGAGTGTAGCAGTGTGAATGTGTGTGAGTGAATGTGTGGAGTCTGTATGTTCTATGTGTTCTGCAGAGTGTGAGTGTAGCAGTGTGAATGTGTGTGAGTGAATGTGTGGAGTCTGTATGTTCTCTGTGTTCTGCAGAGTGTGAGTGTAGCAGTGTGAGTGTGTGTGTGAGTGAATGTGTGGAGTCTGTTCTCTGTGTTCTGCAGAGTGTGAGTGTAGCAGTGTGAATGTGTGTGAGTGAATGTGTGGAGTCTGTATGTTCTATGTGTTCTGCAGAATGTGAGTGTAGCAGTGTGAATGTGTGTGAGTGAATGTGTGGAGTCTGTATGTTCTCTGTGTTCTGCAGAGTGTGAGTGTAGCAGTGTGAATGTGTGTGGAGTCTGTATGTTCTCTGTGTTCTGCAGAGTGTGAGTGTAGCAGTGTGAGTGTAGCAGTGTGAGTGAATGTGTGGAGTCTGTATGTTCTCTGTGTTCTGCAGAGTGTAGTCTGAATGTTTTACGTTTCGGGTAATGACCCTGCTTTATAGAATGCGTTGAGTTTTTTGTTTGATCATTGGGCTTGTGCACCACAGCCAATACGACATCACTAAACTAATTATTTCACAATTATTAATATCAGCAGCAGCACAAACAACAGAACCATCAGCAGAAAAAGACAGCGATTCCTTTTATAGCATGAGCGGACTGTTGGGGCAAGTGCTGTTAACGAGCACCTATGAAGGCCGACACGGCACACGTGGGGGTGGGTGGCCAGCACCACGCCAGGCCGCCTTTGCCTCCCCAGTGGCGAAGTAGACCTAGGGGAGGCCCAGGACCAGTTGATATAATTGTCACTGGTGGCCTTGAGCGGGAATTGAACTCTTCAGATGATGGTGCAGCGCGCCAATTGCCACACGACCACAGACAAAAATAAACATACGTGCATGTGCGTATGCTGAACTTCTTTCGCACCGTACGTAGGCAAGCGTGTTAATCGGACATGCATCACCATCACAAGGGCGGCGACGATAGCAGTGCAATCATCATCGTCGTCAGCTGACGAATCGCTGGTGAATCGTTTAGAGGGGGTGGTGGTGATTTTCTGTACTCAGGTGACGGTGATCATCCTGGACGACAACGACTGCGTCCCAGAATTCCTGCACTCGACCTACAGCTACGAAGGGCTGGCCGAAGACGCGGAAATCGGCACGTACGTCTTGCAGGGTGAGCGCCCTGCCGTCTGAGGTTCATAACGGCCGTGTCGGAGTCGATGGTTCTGGAAACTCGGAGATCCTGCAGTACAAGCCCTGGCGATGTTTGCGTGTGTCCCTCAAATGGGTACCTGGTGCGGTGTGTAAACATCGTCACTAGCGAGACAAAGGCGGCCGGGCGTGCTGAATGGCCACCCAGCCCCTCGTGTGCCGAGCTCGCCAACAGCACTTGCCCTAACAGTCTGTTAAGGCTGTACGGGGGTTCTTTGTCATAATGGCCATGCCAGAACAGTGGAGATCCTGGGTTCTACATTAGATTGATCATAGAGCTTTCCCAACTTCGTGAATTTTAAAAAAGGACAGGGAAGATGATGTGGTTCTGACCCGCCCCTACTCAACATCTGTGAAAAAGAGCTTTATAGCTCATCGAATTGCTCCAGCATAAGTACATATTCCGATTCTAATTCTGTTGTTATGCTCTGGTGGATTGGAGACTACGTTTCAAATTTATTTTTCTTAACCAGGTCGTGAGAACCCAAGAGACCACGATGAGTATAATTTTTAAGAGTCACCAAAATGATAAAAATTAAAAAGAGTGAAATTAATTACAACAATAAAGCAAATCTAAATCAGATAAAAAAATGCGTTGTCACACTAGGAATCTAAAATATTTCACAAAACACAAATCGATGTGAAATAATACAATCCATGTGGCGTGAGTCGGCTCGGCAGGGTTATTTTTAGACTGATCATAGCACAACGACAAATTAGTTCACTCTGGCTCTGACTCCCACACTTGACTTGAGTTGACTCCACTCTCACCCTCTCTCTCTCTCCATGTGTCTGTGTCACACACTCCTTCCCTTCTCATTCTCTCTCTCTCTCTCTCCATGTGTCTGTGTCACACACTCCCTTCCCTCTGATTCTCTCTCTCCCCTCCATGTGTCTGTGTCACACACTCCTTTCCCCTCTCATCTCTCTCTCCATGTGTCTGTGTCACCCACTCCCTTCCCTCTGATTCTCTCTCTCCCCTCCATGTGTCTGTGTCACCGACTCCCTTCCCTCTGATTCTCTCTCTCTTCCCTCCATGTGTCTGTGTCACCCACTCCCTTCCCCTCTCATTCTCTCCCCTCCATGCGTCTGTGTCACCTACTCCCTTCCCTCTGATTCTCTCTCTCTCTCCATGTGTCTGTGTCACACACTCCCTTCCCCTCTCTCTCTCTCCATGTGTCTGTGTCACACACTCCCTTCCCCTCTCATTCTCTCCCCTCCATGTGTCTGTGTCACACACTCCCTTCCCCTCTCTCTCTCTCTCCATGCGTCTGTGTCACACACTCCCTTCCCTCTGATTCTCTCTCTCCCCTCCATGCGTCTGTGTCACCTACTCCCTCCCCCTCTCATCTCTCTCTCTCCGTGCGTCTGTGTCACCCACTCCTTTCCCTCTCATTCTCTCTCTCTCCATGTGTCTGTGTCACACACTCCCTCCCCCTCTCACCCTCTCTCTCTCCATGTGTCTGTGTCACACACTCCCTCCCCTCTCATTCTCTCTTCCCTCCATGTGTCTGTGTCACCTACTCCCTCCCCCTCTCACCCTCTCTCTCCCCTCCATGCGTCTGTGTCACCTACTCCCTCCCCTCTGATTCTCTCTCTCTCCATGTGTCTGTGTCACCCACTCCCTTCCCTCTGATTCTCTCTCTCTCCATGTGTCTGTGTCACCCACTCCCTTCCCTCTGATTCTCTCTCTCTCCATGTGTCTGTGTCACACACTCCCTCCCCTCTCACCCTCTCTCTCTCCCCTCCATGCGTCTGTGTCACACACTCCCTTCCCCTCTCATTCTCTCTCTCTCCATGTGTCTGTGTCACACACTCCCTTCCCCTCTCATTCTCTCTCTCTCCATGTGTCTGTGTCACACACTCCCTCCCCCTCTCATTCTCTCTCTCTCTCCATGTGTCTGTGTCACACACTCCCTTCCCCTCTCATTCTCTCTCTCTCCATGTGTCTGTGTCACACACTCCCTCCCCCTCTCATTCTCTCTCTCTCTCCACGTGTCTGTGTCACCCACTCCTTTCCCCTCTCATCCTCTCACCCCCCCCCCCCGCTCCGTGCCTCCTTGTCGCCGGCTCCATCTCTCCGCCTCTCCCGGTCGCCGCCAGTGTCGGCCCGAGACTGCGACTCCGGCCTCAACGCGTTGCTCTCCTACTTCGTGGCGGGAGGCGGCGGGGGCGACTTCGCGGTGTCTCCCGACGGCTCCGTGTCGGTGGCGCGGGCCCTGGACCACGAGCGGTCCCGCGGCGCCTACGAGTTTGCCGTGGCGGCCGTGGACCGGGGCCACCCGCCCCGCACGGGCACCGCCGCCGTGCGCGTCCGCGTCGCCAACGTCAACGACGAGGCGCCGCGCTTCTCCCGGAGCACGTGCGTGTGTGCGTGTCCGTGCGTGCGCGTGTCTGTGCGTGTGTGCGTGTGCGCGCGCGTGTCCATGCGCGCGCGTGTCCATGCGTGTGTGTGTGCAGGAGTGCGTGCGTGTGTGCACGCGCGTGTGTGCGTTTGAGCACGTGTGTCCCGTGCGTACATGCGTGTGTGTGTGTACAGAGCAGTAGTGCAATGGTTAGCGCTACGCTGCGCTACGAACCCGGCGACCCGAGTTCGATTCCCGCTCACGGCCAACACCAGTGACGATTGTCTGAACCGGTCCTGGGCCTTCCCTAGGTGGACTCAGCCACAAATGAGTACCTGGTGTGGTGCTAGCTCCCCCTTCCCCACCCCCACTCGTGTGCCGTGCCGCCCTTCATATGTGCTCGCTAACAGCACTTGCCCCAACAGTCTAAGGCTTACGTGAGATCTTTGTCTCTATGTGTGCATGTCAATTCGTGCGTGCGTCCGTGTGCGTGCACAGCTTCTGTTTGGCCGGATAGAGGGAGCTCAACGGGATGTTGAGCTGAATGGAGTGAAGGGCCCCACGCGTGTCACTGAGTGAAGTGCCCCACGTGTGTGGCTGAGTGAAGTGCCCCACGTGTGTGGCTGAGTGAAGCGCCCCACGCGTGACACTGAGTGAAGTGCCCCACGTGTGACACTGAGTGAAGTGCCCCACGTGTGACACTGAGTGAAGTGCCCCACGTGTGACACTGAGTGAAGTGCCCCACGTGTGACACTGAGTGAAGTGCCCCACGCGTGTCACTGAGTGAAGTGCCCCACGCGTGTCACTGAGTGAAGTGCCCCACGTGTGTCACTGAGTGAAGTGCCCCACGCGTGTCACTGAGTGAAGTGCCCCACGTGTGTCACTGAGTGAAGTGCCCCACGCGTGTCACTGAGTGAAGTGCCCCACGCGTGTCACTGAGTGAAGTGCCCCACGCGTGTCACTGAGTGAAGTGCCCCACGTGTGTGGCTGAGTGAAGCGCCCCACGCGTGTCACTGAGTGAAGTGCTCCACGCGTGTCACTGAGTGAAGTGCCCCACGCGTGTCACTGAGTGAAGTGCCCCACGCGTGTCACTGAGTGAAGTGCCCCACGTGTGACACTGAGTGAAGTGCTCCACGCGTGTCACTGAGTGAAGTGCCCCACGCGTGTCACTGAGTGAAGTGCCCCACGTGTGTCACTGAGTGAAGTGCCCCACGTGTGTCACTGAGTGAAGTGCCCCACGCGTGTCACTGAGTGAAGTGCCCCACGTGTGACACTGAGTGAAGTGCTCCACGCGTGTCACTGAGTGAAGTGCCCCACGCGTGTCACTGAGTGAAGTGCCCCACGTGTGTCACTGAGTGAAGTGCCCCACGTGTGTCACTGAGTGAAGTGCTCCACGCGTGTCACTGAGTGAAGTGCCCCACGCGTGTCACTGAGTGAAGTGCTCCACGTGTGTCACTGAGTGAAGTGCCCCACGTGTGTCACTGAGTGAAGTGCTCCACGCGTGTCACTGAGTGAAGTGCCCCACGCGTGTCACTGAGTGAAGTGCTCCACGTGTGACACTGAGTGAAGTGCCCCACGTGTGACACTGAGTGAAGTGCCCCACGTGTGACACTGAGTGAAGTGCCCCACGCGTGTCACTGAGTGAAGTGCCCCACGTGTGACACTGAGTGAAGTGCCCCACGCGTGTGACACTGAGTGTAGCGCCCCACGCGTTTCACTGAGTGAAGTGCCCCACGTGTGACACTGAGTGAAGTGCTCCACACGTGTCACTGAGTGAAGTGCCCCACGCGTGTCACTGAGTGAAGTGCCCCACGTGTGTCACTGAGTGAAGTGCCCCACGTGTGACACTGAGTGAAGTGCCCCACACGTGTCACTGAGTGAAGTGCCCCACACGTGTCACTGAGTGAAGTGCCCCACGCGTGTCACTGAGTGAAGTGCCCCACGCGTGTCACTGAGTGAAGTGCCCCACGTGTGTGGCTGAGTGAAGTGCCCCACGTGTGTGGCTGAGTGAAGTGCCCCACGCGTGTGACACTGAGTGAAGTGCCCCACGCGTGTGACACTGAGTGAAGTGCCCCACGCGTGTCACTGAGTGAAGTGCCCCACGTGTGTCACTGAGTGAAGTGCCCCACGTGTGTGGCTGAGTGAAGTGCCCCACGTGTGTGGCTGAGTGAAGTGCCCCACGCGTGTCACTGAGTGAAGTGCCCCACGTGTGTGGCTGAGTGAAGTGCCCCACGTGTGACACTGAGTGAAGTGCCCCACGCGTGTGACACTGAGTGAAGTGCCCCACGCGTGTCACTGAGTGAAGTGCCCCACGTGTGTCACTGAGTGAAGTGCCCCACGTGTGTGGCTGAGTGAAGTGCCCCACGTGTGTGGCTGAGTGAAGTGCCCCACGTGTGTGGCTGAGTGAAGTGCCCCACGCGTGTGACACTGAGTGAAGTGCCCCACGCGTGTCACTGAGTGAAGTGCCCCACGTGTGTCACTGAGTGAAGTGCCCCACGTGTGACACTGAGTGAAGCGCCCCACGCGTGTGACACTGAGTGAAGTGCTCCACGTGTGTCACTGAGTGAAGTGCCCCACGCGTGTGACACTGAGTGAAGTGCCCCACGTGTGACACTGAGTGAAGTGCCCCACGCGTGTGACACTGAGTGAAGTGCTCCACGTGTGTCACTGAGTGAAGTGCCCCACGCGTGTGACACTGAGTGAAGTGCCCCACGCGTGTCACTGAGTGAAGTGCCCCACGTGTGTCACTGAGTGAAGTGCCCCACACGTGTCACTGAGTGAAGTGCCCCACGTGTGTCACTGAGTGAAGTGCCCCACGTGTGACACTGAGTGAAGTGCCCCACGCGTGTCACTGAGTGAAGTGCCCCACGTGTGACACTGAGTGAAGTGCCCCACGTGTGTCACTGAGTGAAGTGCCCCACACGTGTCACTGAGTGAAGTGCCCCACGTGTGTCACTGAGTGAAGTGCCCCACGTGTGACACTGAGTGAAGTGCCCCACGTGTGACACTGAGTGAAGTGCCCCACGTGTGTCACTGAGTGAAGTGCCCCACGTGTGACACTGAGTGAAGTGCCCCACGTGTGACACTGAGTGAAGTGCCCCACGTGTGTCACTGAGTGAAGTGCCCCACGTGTGACACTGAGTGAAGTGCCCCACGTGTGACACTGAGTGAAGTGCCCCACGTGTGTCACTGAGTGAAGTGCCCCACGTGTGACACTGAGTGAAGTGCCCCACGTGTGACACTGAGTGAAGTGCCCCACGTGTGTCACTGAGTGAAGTGCCCCACGTGTGTCACTGAGTGAAGTGCCCCACGTGTGTCACTGAGTGAAGTGCCCCACGTGTGACACTGAGTGAAGTGCCCCACGTGTGACACTGAGTGAAGTGCCCCACGTGTGTCACTGAGTGAAGTGCCCCACGTGTGACACTGAGTGAAGTGCCCCACGTGTGACACTGAGTGAAGTGCCCCACGTGTGTCACTGAGTGAAGTGCCCCACGTGTGACACTGAGTGAAGTGCCCCACGTGTGACACTGAGTGAAGTGCCCCACGTGTGTCACTGAGTGAAGTGCCCCACGCGTGTCACTGAGTGAAGTGCCCCACGTGTGACACTGAGTGAAGTGCCCCACGTGTGTCACTGAGTGAAGTGCTCCACGTGTGTCACTGAGTGAAGTGCCCCACGCGTGTCGCTGAGTGAAGTGCCCCACGTGTGTCACTGAGTGAAGTGCCCCACGCGTGTCGCTGCGCCAGGTACCAGGCGCTCATCTCGGAGGAGGCGGGGCCGCACGCGCTCGTGGGCTCGGTGCTCGCGATCGACCCCGATGGGGACGCCGTCTCCTACGCAATCGCCAGCGGCAACGAGGACGGAAACTTTCTCATCGACCCACACGAAGGCTCGCTCGCTCGCTCAGTCACTCGATCACTGTTTCGCTCAGCGCACTCGCTCATACATTCGTTCGTTAATTCGCTCCCTCGTTCGCTCACGCTGATGATGCAATGATGTCGGTACAGCAGCTGTTGCCGACGGTGATATCTGTAATGCTGCTTGCTGATGCCTATAATGGTGATGCCGATGTCGCTGCTGCTGCTGCCGCTGCTGCCGCAGGCATCATCCGCTTGCGATCCTCGCCGCCGCCGCGCCTGCTTGGCCCCTCGTACACGCTGGGGGTCACGGCGACGGATGACAACGCGTCGGGTGGCGCGGGGCCCCTGCGCGGACACGCCACCGTCAGCGTCACCGTCCGTGACGTCAACAACAACAAGCCCCACTTTGCTGAGGTGGCGCACACCCCGACCCCCCACCCGACCCCCTCTTCCCATCCCCCTACCACCCCCTCCCACCCCCCTCCCACCCCCCTCCCACCTACCACCCCTCTCCCACCCCCCTGCCACCCCCCTCCCACCCCCCTCCCACCCCCCTCCCACCCCCCTCCCACCTACGGCGGGGCCGTCGAGCCCCCCCCCCGCCACCCCGTGCCGGTCTTTGCATCCCCTATCGTTTTCTGACCCTGTGAACAAGAGCTTCATAGCTCATCGGATTTCTCCAGGATAAATAAAGATGCTGATTATGAGTAGGCGCTCGCTAACGGCATTCGCCCCAAACGTCTGTCGATTATCTGAATCGGCCCTGGGTCTCCCCTAGGTCGACTCAGCCTCAAACGAGTACCTGGTGCGGTGTGTAAACATCGCCACTTGGGGGAGACAAAGGCGGCCGGGCGTGGTGCTGGCCACCCACCCCCTCATGTGCCTTTCCAGCCTAAATAAGTGCTCGCCAACAGCACTTGCCCTCACAGTCTGTTAAGGCTACACGAGGGATCTTTGCCTTTGTGTGCAGTGTGCCCGCTACAGCGAGCTCGCCGTGGTTGCCGAGAACCTCCCCGCGGGCCAGGCGGTCGTGCAGGTCGAGGCCCACGATGCTGATGAGGGCGACAATGGGCGAGTCCGCTACGGGCTCATCCAGCGGGCGGATGCGTCGCCTGCTCTGCACATCCACCCCGAGACCGGTGAGGCCTCGCCCGCACCTGGGATCCAACCCATCCCGCAGAGCTGCCCTACCGGGTGTGGTCACTTGCACGAGGTCAGGGCGGAGCCTCTCCCCTCCTCCTGCAGCCTCCCTCGATCCCATCTCCCTCCCTCTCGCTTCCGCTCACAACCTCCTCTCTATCGCCGTCTCATCTCCCCTCTTATCTTCGAATCTCCACTCCCTTCCTCTCCCTTCCTCTCTCATCCCCCCCTCGCGTCCCTCCTCCCCTCTCATCTGCTTCACTCCTCTCCACCATTTTTTTCATTTTTTCTCTTTCCTCTCCCACCCCCTCTACCCCCTCACCATTCTCTCACCTCCCCTCTACCCCCTCTACCCCCTCACCATTTTCCCTTCTCCCACCCCCTGTACCCCCTCGCCATTCTCTCATCTCCCACCCCCTCTACCCCCTCGCCATTCTCTCATCTCCCAACCCCTGTACCCCTTCACCATTCTCTCACCTCCCCTCTACCCCCTCTACCCCCTCGCCATTCTCTCACCTCCCCTCTACCCCCTCGCCATTCTCTCATCTCCCACCCCCTCTACCCCCTCGCCATTCTCTCATCTCCCACCCCCTCTACCCCCTCGCCATTCTCTCATCTCCCACCCCCTGTACCCCCTCACCATTCTCCCATCCCCAACCCCCTCTACCCCCTCGCCATTCTCCCATCCCCCACCACCCTCTACCCCCTCACCATTCTCCCATCCCCCACCACCCTCTACCCCCTCGCCATTCTCCCATCCCCCACCACCCTCTACCCCCTCGCCATTCCCTCCTCTCCCGTCTCCACCTCCCCCCCACCGCTCAGGGCTGATCACCACGACGCGGCCGCTCGACCGGGAGGCCCAGCGTGAGCACGCGGTCACGGTGACGGCCACGGACCAGGGCTCGGAGCCGCTGGTGGGGGTGTGCCGACTCGCGGTCACCGTCGCCGATGACAACGACAACGCCCCGCGCTTCGAGGCGGCGCGATACGAGCGTACGGCGACGGCAGCAAACAGCAATAACAACCGCAGACAACCACAGACAACCACAGACAACAAGCGGAACTGTAGATGGCTCGACAGCTTTAGTTTATATTCTTTGGGTCTTTCGGTAAAGTCACCGAGAGCAACAGTTCTTACAGAAAACTACGACGTTTCGATCGCGACACAAGCAATCGACATCAGGAGGAAAAAAACAGCGGGAAAGCTGCTGACGCAGGCTGTTTTAAAAGTTTGAAATGGGTGTAGCCCGAGGGTCATAAACGAAATGGGCAGGGCTAGGTGATGTTAAAGTGAGAAATTTGCATGTAAATGTAAGCGTCATCAGGAGGAAAAAAACAGCGGGAAAGCTGCTGACGCAGGCTGTTTTAAAGGTTTGAAGTGGGCGCAGTTTATCCGAGCGTCGCCACTCTGCCGCCCACCGCCCCTCCCTTCTGTGCCCACCCCCTGCACGACCGCAGACATCCTGCGAGAGGACACCCCGGTGGGCACGAGCTTCCTGCGCGTGGCCGCGCACGACGAGGACCAGGGCGCGAACGCCGCCGTCACCTACTCGCTGTCGGGCGACCCGCCCGAGTACATGCGCGTCAACCCCGCCACCGGCTGGGTCTACGTGCACCAGCCCATCTCGCTGGTGCGCTGCAGCGGGGAGCGGTGGGATGCCCTGCGGGGGAGTTGGCGTCGCTCTGTGCCTCGTGTAGCCGTGCCGGCCTTTGTGGGTGCTGCTCGCGAACAGCACTTGCACCAAGTCGTTTAAGGCTACGCAGGGGGGGGGTGTGGGTGTGGGTCTTTGCGCGAGAGCTGGGCTGGGGTGTGCGAGGCGGTATTGCGGTGGTTAGCGCTACTTGCCGCTACAAACGCACGCGGCCCGAGTTCACTTCCTGTTAAATTTCGATTTAAAGCTTTCGTGACTGCAAGGATTCATCTTCTTTGGTTCTTTCGGTAAAGTCACGTAGAATGATAATGAAATAATTAATTAATAAAATAAAATAACACAATACAATTCTCACAACGTTTCGGCCACAACACAAGTGGCCGAAACGTCGTGAGAATTTTATTGTGTTATTTTATTAATTTATTATTTGATTCTCATTCTACGTGACTTTACCGAAAGAACCACAGAAGATCACTTCCTGTCCTTAGCCCTACATCGGTGTTGATTATCCGAACCGGTCCTGGGCTCCCACTATAGGTCGATTCGACCGGTGTTGGCCTTCATAGGTGCTCACTAACAACACATTCCCCAATAGTTGCTGTAGGATCGTTGTCTTGTTTCCTTTAAGTTTGTGACTTCAAGTATTTATGCGTGTATGTGAGTGTGTGCATATTGGTGTGCGATGCGTTTATTTGCATACAGTAAATGTGTGCGTGTCCGTTCACGTATGCATGCGTGTGTGTGTGTGTGTTCGTGGGCATGGCTATGTGTACACGTGTGTAACCATGTGACTGCACGCATTTGCTAGTAAGCATCCACGTGATACGTGGTGCGTGTGCGCTTGTGGTGGTAGCAGCGGCACACCAACTCCCCTGGCACTCTGTTCTGGCGATCATTCATCCGCCAAATATCCACGGACACATCGTGCAAACCGCAAGGGAGTTTCCACGTTTCCCTGCCAACGACAACCACCTGCCCATCAGCTAAGCAGTGTCACTCAGCAGTGTCACTTCGCCACCGAATGCCCAAGTCCCGATCCACCCTTCTGGCATCACGCTGCTGCCGTTTACCATTTTTTCGTCAAGGAGCGGAGACCATCGTCACGCCAACTCCGGTGGTCATCCTTGCAGCAGCAGCAGCAGCTTTTTACTCGCCATTCAACAAAGACGGTGGTCGCCACGTCGCGCACTCTCAGATGCACTTCAGCGGCCGTCTGGAAGGCTCTTCCTTCCGATATTAGAAAGCCACTGGAGCTGTGCACTTTCAAATAATTTAGATTGAAAATGCATTTAGAGCTGCTTTTTGGGTTTAGTTTGTTGTCTTTCCCCCGCACCTCCGATTAGCACGGTTGGCTACGTACGGTGTCGAAAGAAGTTCAACATACCTACACATGCAAAATCAACAGGCCGATACGCATATCTCCTTCATGAATGAAGAATGAAAGACACAAGAGCCACAGTGGTAGTGTTGCTGTGGCCATACAACTACAGACCATTAAGGGAACCACTGTTGTCTGCACTCCGACAGAGGAGGAATAGCAAAGCGACACGAACTCTTGTCTTCTGAAGGAAGCCCTCTCGTCGTGGCCAGCAGCAGACCTGTGAAAGAGAGCTTTACAGCTCATCGGATTCCTCCGGTATAAATAAATGTTGGGATTCCGGCCTCGACATTGGCACCTCTCGATCCTGAACACGTCTCTGCTGACACATCTGCTGGTGGCTTTGGAGGCCACCACCTCACAAGCCATGGCAGTAGATGCGGATACCTGATGCACAAAAAGAACATTTTAAACTTTCCAGCAGTGTGCGACTGTGGGTCATCCAGGACAGACCACACACACGCATGTAACGACGCAATCCCCGACCCACAGATACGAAGCACACATCACAGCGATATAACTCCGCTGTTCCTGACTCGATTATCTGGCTGGGACCACCCAAATGTCAAGCTGTAGGTGTTCCTCCGCATTTAAATCGTCAGCCATACGACAAGAACGAGAAGAGCTCGCAGTCGGAGGGCTTCTTCCTCTGACGTTCTCGTCTCCGCTGACGGGGCCGGTCACGAGTGCGTCTCCCCGCCTCCCTCGCAACCCCCTCCCCTCCCCACCCCCCGCGTAGAACCCGCTCATCCGCCGCCTCGTGGTGGCGACGGACGGAGGCAACCGCAGCAGCTCAGTGGAGCTGTCGGTGAGCATCACCAACCTGCGCAACCAGCCGCCTCGCTGGCACAGCGACCGCTACGACATCACCGTGCCGGAGAACACGACGCGCGACACCGTTATCCTGGTGCGCGCACGAACGCACGCGCACTCACGCACGCGCACAGCAATGCATGCACGTAGCTGTACACAGTGCGTTTAAATGCAACTGCATCGCAAGGCGCTTTATACGATTGTAGTGGGTTCAACTGAGTCGCAGACGTAGGCTTTGTAGGCAGCGCATTTATTTAGTTCCAACACACGGGGTAACTTCCCCTTAACAGAATAACAACCTCGGGTGGTGACTACCAGGCTAACTACACTAGTTACCACACTAGTTACCACACTAGTTACTACACTAGTTACCACGTAAGTGTTACTACGGACCCGGGACCAACAGCATCTGTCCGGGCCCACGTGCTGGAAGACTCGTAGAACGGAGATCGTGACGAAGGGTTCTTTCCCCAGGATGAACAACCCCGGTCCCTCTCGGGACGCGGATTATATCCTCTGCGGCGTGGCCGGCTCCGCCCTTGGCCGCCACGTCCACCTTCCAGAACCATCGGGAAGGATCTGGGTCCCAATCACTTGACCCCGCTAGCCCCCAAGGGGGCCCCTCTGTCATCTTAACCGGTCACGTGTCCTCCCGGGTCAATCAGAGTGCCATGGCCTCACACGTCCATCCCCTTTGGGTCGGCACCCACACACCATGTCTTGTAGGGCCGGCACTGCACTTACAACATGGTGACATCCAGTAATGTCGCTACACAATGAAAAGCACCGCATTAGGTAAGGGTGGGTGGGTGTGGTGGGATTGGGGACGGCAGGGAAACGGGGGGAGAGGAGAGGAGAGAGCGACAGCCCAAAAGTCAGGGCAGCACCAAAGTGTTCCCAGGGCCAGTGGGTCACGTGGGCGTGCTGCCTTGCCGATAAAATTCGAGTGGACAGTGTCACTGGGTACGCACCCCATGGCAGCGCATTCCCGTCACGTTCAGCTGTAACTCGGGGATACTGGGGAGATGAGCTCGATATTTCACGCGCATTGAAACGCACCACCAGATGAGAATATCGCCACAATATTTAACGTGTGGATGCGCGATGGAATAAATAATTCCCCGTGAATCCTACGGGGTTTTGGGGGGGGAGCTGTTCGAGGGCACGGTGGCTAGGAGATGTTAACTACCTCGCCTGGTATGCAGGAGGTCGTGGGTTCATTCCCGACCCTGACACCTGCTGTATATTTAGAGTTTGCGTGTCTCTCTCCGCGTGGTCGTGTGGGTTTTTCTCCGGGTCCTGCGGTTTTTCCCCTCCACATTCAGAATCAACATCTCACGTTCGGAGTATTTGCCTACTATAAATATCCACGCGGCAAGCCACTTCGTTGAGTTATCACTTGTGATAGCCAGATCGCGAATCTGAAAAAAGAGAGGTACAGCTCAGCGGGCCTTGCACCTGATAAAATAAAATAGTTTAGTTTACAGTCACCCTGGAACAGTCTCGGTGTGCGGCGATGAGCCCTTGTTGAGCGAGAACCTCTCCCCCGGGGCCTCCACGGCACCGCTTTCTCTGTGCCGCCGCGTGGGGCAGACGCTGAAGGCGAGCTCGCAGCTGGGTGACCCGCGGGTCACCTACACCCTGGAGGAGGGCGGCCCCACCGCCCTTTTCTACCTGAGCCCCAACCGCGCCGACGGCTCCGCCTCGCTGCTGCTCGCCGAGCCCCTCGACTACGAGGCCGCCCCGCGCCTCTCGCTCCGGGTTCGGGCCCAGAACGTGGCCGCGGTGCCGCTGGCCGCCTTCGCCAGTGTCTACGTCTCCGTCACCGGTCGGTGCTCGCTCGTTCGCTCGCTCCACCGTTCATTCGCTCCACCGTTCATTCGCTCCACCGTTCGTTCGCTCCACCGTTCGTTCGCTCGACCGCTCGGCCTTCCTCGCTCGCCAAAGTCGCCCCGAGCCAGGAGTGCACGTAATGGCTGTGCCACGTCGTCGAAAAGCATCCACATGTTCAGTTATCGTAAGTAACGTGGCTGGATGCAATGTGGCAGGTTTGTTGTGCAGTTATTAGTGGCCAGGCTGAGAACATTAATTGACTACACTTCAATTTAATCACAAGCCAGTCTATTGTGTGAATTCATGGATTTTATGTGTGAGCCTATGGGGTGTCTGTGCGAGTCTTTGGGTATTCTCTGCGAGTCCCTGGGGTTTCTGTGCGAGTCTCTGGGGTGTTTGTGCGAGTCTCTGGGGTTTCTGTGCGAGTCTTTGGGTATTCTGTGCGAGTCTCTGGGGTTTCTGTGCGAGTCTTTGGGGTGTTTGTGCGAGTCTCTGGGGTGTTTGTGCGAGTCTTTGGGTATTCTCTGCGAGTCTCTGGGGTTTCTGTGCGAGTCTCTGGGGTTTCTGTGCGAGTCTCTGGGGTTTCTGTGCGAGTCTCTGGGGTTTCTGTGCGAGTCCCTGGGGTTCTGTGCGAGTCTCTGGGGTTTCTGTGCGAGTCTTTGGGGTGTTTGTGCGAGTCTCTGGGGTTTCTGTGCGAGTCTCTGGGGTGTTTGTGCGAGTCTCTGGGTTTCTGTGCGAGTCTCTGGGGTTTCTGTGCGAGTCTCTGGGTTTCTGTGCGAGTCTCTGGGGTTTCTGTGCGAGTCTCTGAGGGTTCTGTGCGAGTCTGCGGGTCTCTATGTAGGTTAACAGGCGACTCTGTTGAGACAAGTCGCCTTGCAACTCTTCTTTGAGACTGCCGTAGAATGAGGCAAAGAGCAAGCGACGCGTGGGTGGCCTCAACGGCAACCGGCGACGTTGACCTCGTAACCTCTCAGATGTCTGGCTGTGGCCCTCACGACCTCCCGACCTTGATGTCAATACGTGGGTGGCCGTTACATCGTCTTGACCTCCACGTCTACGTAATGAGCCACGATGACCTCTTGACCCTGGCCGTTGTCGCCCGTGTCCGCCGCGCTCAGACGTCAACGACAACGTCCCCTTCTTCACGGCGCCCAGCTACGAGGCCTCGGTGCCCGAGGGCGCCAGCGTTGGGACGTTCGTGACGCAGGTGTCCGCCACCGACCTCGACTCGGGCGAGCACGGCAAGGTGACGTCACCATCGTCGTCGTCGGTGGCGGCGGCGTCATCTCTTCTCTGTGGCCCATCCTGCTACTGCTACTCCCTGCCCCCGTCCCCTAGCTACGATCTGGCCGAGCCCAATCCCTAACCATATTTATACCGCTATCACTACCCGTATCACTACCCCTTATCACTACCGTTATCACTACCCCTATCACTACTCCTATTACTACCCCTATCACTACCCCTATTACTACCCCTATCACTACCCCTATCACTACCCCTATCACTACCCCTATCACTACCCCTATTACTACCCCTATCACTACCCCTATTACTACCCCTATCACTACCCCTATCACTACCCTTATCACTACCCCTATCACTACCCCTATCACTACCCCTATCACTATCACTACCCCTGTTACTACCCCTATCACTACCCCTATCACTACCCCTATCACTATCCCTACCACTATATCACTATCACTACTCCTGTTACTACCCCTATCACTACCCCTATCACTACCCCTGCCACTATACCCCTATCACTACCCCTATCACTACCCCTATCACTACTTCTATCACTACCCTTATCACTACCCCTATCACTACCCCTATCACTACCCCTATCACGACCCCAACCCCTATCACTACCCCTCCTTAACCTCTCCCACCTATTCTCCTATCACCATAACTACACCACCACGTTTAATAACAATCCCACTCTTATGTCAACAACTGTCATCTTTCGTACAATTTTATAATTGCTCTAAAAGCGCTTTTGAATAAGGTGCAATACAAATCTATATACAATAAGATAAGACCACTATCATCATCGTCGTCTTCATCATAATAAAATTACTCCATTGAGACTCATAACAGAGGTTTTTGAGTTATAATGCGTAAATATAAATGTCTCGATTTAAAGCTTTTGTGACTGCAAGGATTCATCTTCTTTGGTTCTTTCGGTAAAGTTACGTAGAATGAGAATAAAATAATAAAATAAAATAAGACAATAAAATTCTCACGACGTTTTGGCCACAACACAAGTAGCCTTTATCAGGTGAAAGAACAGAACTGTCGGGACGACAGCGCTTCTAACAATTCTTTCACCTGATGAAGGCTACTTGTGTTGTGGCCGATACGTCGTGAGCTTTTAATTGTCTTATTTTATTTTATTGTTTTATTCTCATTCTACGTGACTTTACCGAAAGAACCAAAGAAAATAAATATGTGTCGTTAAACCCGCCACCACCCGACACAGCCAATTAGTAAGGTTTGTCACGTAAACAAAACATGTCAATTCGTTACTAGTACAGCACTGACCGGTGTGTTGGAGAGTAAACCCACGACATTTACAATTCGAGTTCACGACGTTTCGCCGGTAATTACGACCAGCATTGTCAGACGGGCAGCCATCATTATGGAAACATCCTCCTCCTCCTGCTTCAGGCATTGGCACTGCAACGCATCAGCAATTGTCGCCCCCTACCGGCAGAACCGGGTCCTGTTCGCAGGCCGCGCGCCGAGTGAACCTCGTGCCGCCTGCACGTGGACAGCTCTGCGAGACGTTCGCGGTTTGAACCTGGCAGGCCGCCCCGGGTTAACACCGCAACGCACGCTCTGATTTTCACGGTGGACGTTTTAAAAAACAATTTAAAAAATCCCGTGACATAACATGAAGAAGCGTAAGAGATGCCGGCATCGCATCAAATTTTCCAGATTCGAAAATTTGACACTGCAATCATTCAATTGCAATTACGCATTGCGCCCCGTATTGGCAGGCTAAGTGCTGAGTCACCTTGTGCTCACAGGGACAGCTGCCGCTGGAGGTGCCCTTTTAAACGTGTTGAGACAAGATGCAAGGGGCGATCCGGCAAATATGGTGCATTATCATCGTCATCGTCATAATCTTCATCAGCAGCGCGTATTAGTATAGCCGCAAGGGCTGGGATTGACATCGTGATCACAATGATGATACTGATCTATTGGTGATAATGACGATGATCTTAATGGAGACAATTTTGCTGTTACTTATCCTATTGTCGATGATTGATTATGATGCTAATGATGCTGATGACGATGGTGATCCGAATGGTGATCATGCTGTTGATGCACGGTGATGATGGTGACAATCATGATGATGATACAATTTTTTTTTTTTTTTTTTTTACACCAGAAGTATTTTATTCAACGTAAAATAATAACCAGGTGGAAGGTAGAGCGTACGGGTCAGACAGGGTTCAGTGGGTGAATGCGAGGGGTTGAAGCGGGACGGATTTTCCGGTTGCCAATTTTTGGTGACACCGTTTCCTAATGCCGGCGACGGACGGTGACGATGGCGGCGGCCGCAGGTGAGCTACTCGCTGCTGAAGGACGCGAGCGGGGATCACCGCTTCTTCTCGGTGGACGAGGGCAGCGGCGCGGTGTTCACACGCGCCGTGTTCGACCGCGAGAGCAAGAGCTCCTACGTGGTGGAGGTGCAGTCGCGCGACGGGACGGAAAGCGCGCGCACGGGCAGACGCGCACAGCCCAACACAGGTGAGCCACGGACGCACACACGCGCACACACGCACACACACGCACACACACACACGCACACACGCACACACGCACACACACGCACACACGCGCACACACGCACACACACGCACACACGCGCACACACGCACACGCACACATGCACACACACGCACACACGCACACACGCGCACACACGCACACACGCACACACACGCACACATGCGCACACACGCGCACATGCGCACACACGCGCACACACGCATACACACGCACACACGCGCACACACGCACACATGCGCACACACGCGCACGCGCACACACGCACACACGCACATACACGCACACACACGCACACACACGCACACACACATGCACACACATGCACACACGCACACGCGCACACACGCACACACGCTCACACGCGCACACACGCACACACGCGCACACACGCGCATACACGCGCACACGCGCACACGCGCACATGCGCAAACATGCACACATGCGCACACACGCGCACACACGCGCACACGCATACACACGCACACACGCGCACACACGCACACATGCGCACACACGCGCACGCGCACACACGCACACACGCGCACACACGCACACACGCACACACGCGCACACACGCACACGCGCACACACGCACACACGCGCACACGCGCACACACGCACACGCGCACACACGCACACACGCACACACGCGCACACACGCACACGCGCACACACGCACACACGCACACACGCGCACACACGCGCACACGCACACACGCGCACATGCGCACACATGCACACATGCGCACACACGCGCACACACGCACACACGCACACACGCACACACACGCACACACGCGCACACATGCGCACACACGCGCACACACGCACACACACACACACACACGCACACACACGCACACACGCACACACGCGCACATGCGCACACATGCACACACACACGCACACACGCACACACACGCACACACGCACACACGCGCACATGCGCACACACACGCACACACAAAGACCTCCTGTATAGCCTGAACAGACTGTTGGGGCAAGTGCTGTTAGCGACCACCTATGAAGGCCAGAACGGCTCACGATGGGGTGGGTGGCCAGCACCACACCCGGTCGCCTTTGCCCAGTGGCGATGTTTTTACGCACCGCATCAGGTATTCATTTGAGGCTGAGTCGACCTAGGGGAGGCCCAGGACCGGTTCAGATAATCGTCACTGGTGTTGGCCGTGAGCGGAAATCGAACCCAGGTGGCCAGTTTCCTAGTGCAGCGCGCTAACCGCTATACCACCACACACACGTGCGCACGCACACAGACACACACGGGCGGGGTCGGGGGAGTGTTGGCGTTTCAGAGCCACACTGAGGTCCGGGTGGAATGGGGGAAAGGAACACTATAAATCACAAAACGTGGGCAATTTATAACTGCTTCGGCACAACCGGTAGTCTTGTGGCTGAAGAGCGACCCAGTCCGCGTTTTAATGGTAGCGACCTATCGCTGCCAGTTCCAACCGGCATCAGGACCGGTAATCATCACTGGTGTAAACATCACCACCACTGGAGAGACAAAGGTGGCCGGGCATGGTGCTGGCCACCCACCGCCTCGCGTACCTTTCCAGCCTTCATAGGTGCTCGCTAACATCATTGCACTGTCAAGGCTATACGGGGGACCTTTGTCTTTGCGTGCGCATGTCAGACTCGGCGTACGTGCGCGTCATCATTAGCGACGTGAACGACAACGTCCCCACCTTCGAGCGGGAGCTCTACGAGGTGACGCTGGACGAGGACGTGGAGGTGGGGACCATCGTCGCCACCCTCGTCGCGGTCGACGGAGACGAAGGTGAGGTCCGCCTCGTCGTCGTCATCGACGTCAATTTCAATAGCGTCATCGTCGCCACCGTAATCATCATCATTATCATCAATGTTATCATCATGGGCAACGCTTGCTGTGCCTTTAACGTCCACTGTGAGCGAAGCAAATGGCGCGTGGCCATCTGTGAAACTACTGGATGTCTGTGATAAAGAGCTTTATAGCTCATCGGATTCCTCCAGTAAAAATACAAGATTATGATACTGATACTGAACGCAGGTATTAAACAGGGCGGCCATTGGATTCGAACGGTGAATGCGCCAACGCTGCGCCGTGGTGTCACCGCATCTCTCCGGCATTGTAAAACGGCTACCAGTGCGTTGAGCCAACGGTCGTTGTCAAATGGAGAAGAATGTGGAATCTCCGCCACTGGTAACTTCTTACGAACTAAACCACCACCTTAAACGTGCCCCGATATCGGGGTTGAGTCTGGTTGAGGAGTCTGGTTCGTACCCGGACCTGGGACTGCCGGACATTACCATGTTATTGTCAACTGAAACTCTGAGACATCTGTCAAAAAGAGCTTTATTGCTCACCGGATTCCTCCAGCATGAACAAATCTTCCGATTCCGTTGTCGGCTCGGCTTGCGTCCCGAGTGGATGGCGGCGGCCGAAATCCCTTTCCTCGCGCGAGCGGCCACGCGCCGCGGCGATTTCACCGGCGGGCCGGCCGCGGCGTCTCGCGCAGGCGCCGACGGCCTCCTGCGCTACCGCATCGTGTCGGGCAACGAGGACGGCGCCTTCGAGTTGCGCGCCGAGACGGGGGCACTCGCCGTGGCGCGCCCGCTGGACTACGAGCGGGCGGCGCGACACGCGCTGCGCGTGGCCGCCTCCGACGGCCGCTGGGAGGGCCACGCGACCGTGGCGGCGGCGCTGCGCAACCTCAACGACGAGGCGCCGGTATTCGCCAGCGCCGAGTACCGCGCCCGCATCGCTGAGGGGCTGCCGCGCGACGCCCCGGTGCTGCTCCTGCAGGTAGATCTTTTTGCGCATTTTTTTTTGTTTTCGTTTTGATCGCTCAATTTTCTGTCGTCGTGATTGTTTACGCTGTAAAGCTGTTCTTTTTTTTTAATGCCAGGTAAGGACCCCGCTGAGCTTTTTAGCTCTTTTTTTCTGTTTACCAAGGAAAGCCTCTCAAGACTGCTTTGCAGGAGGGTCCTGCCGGGTTTTCACGGAAGCGGACGATGTGGTGTGTACGTATGTGCGTAGTAAGTACAGTGAGGGAAAAAAGTATTTGATCCCCTGCTGATTTTGTACGTTTGCCCACTGACAAATAAATGATCAGTCTATAATTTTTATAGTAGGTTTATTTGAACAGTGAGAGACAGAATAACAACAAAAAAAATCCAGATGAATGCATGTCAAAAATGTTATAAATTGATTAGGAGCACACTCTTAAAGGGAGTGCTTCTAATCTCAGCTTGTTACCTGTATAAAAGACACCTGTCCACAGAAGCAATCAATCAATCAGGAGGAGGAATGCTGCCTATGACCCCAAGAACACCATCCCCACCGTCAAACATGGAGGTGGACACATTATGCTTTGGGAGTGTTTTTCTGCTAAGGGGGCAGGACAACTTCACCGCATCAAAGGGACGATGGACAGGGCCATGTACCGTCAAATCTTGGGTGAGAACCTCCTTCCCTCAGCCAGGGCATTGAAAATGGGTCGTGGATGGGTATTCCAGCATGACAATGACCCAAAACACACGGCCAAGGCAACAAAGGAGTGGCTTAAGAAGAAGCACATTAAGGTCCTGGAGTGGCCTAGCCAGTCTCCAGACCTTAATCCCATAGAAAATCTGTGGAGGGAGCTGAAGGTTCGAGTTGCCAAACGTCAGCCTCGAAATCTTAATGACTTGGAGAAGATCTGCAAAGAGGATTGGGACAAAATCCCTCCTGAGATGTGTGCAAACCTGGTGGCCAACTACAAGAAACGTCTGACCTCTGTGATTGCCAACAAGGGTTTTGCCACCAAGTACTAAGTCATGTTTTGCAGAGGGGTCAAATACATATTTCCCTCATTAAAATGCAAATCAATTTATAACATTTTTGACATGCGTTTATCTGGATTTTTGTTGTTGTTATTCTGTCTCTCACTGTTCAAATAAACCTTCAATTTAAATTATAGACTGATCATTTCTTTGTCAGTGGGCAAACGTACAAAATCAGCAGGGGATCAAATACTTTTTTCCCTCACTGCATGTAGCCAACCGTGCAGGGGAAGAACAACAAACTACCTTGCTGCTGCTGTGTGATTCCAATCGGGAATTTTACAGGGAGTTTCTCAGCATTGCCGATGTTTTGTCCCGATACCAGTTCACATTGTACCGTTTTATTATAGCTATGCGAGGAGGAAACCGACGACCTGGTGGAAACCAATGCTAAGCAGGGGGAGATAATACAAACACCACACAGCAACGTGCCCAAGTCGGGAATTGAACCGAGGCCCTTGTTCCTGCGAGACACGAGTGGTACCACTGCCTCCGTTGACAGTCGTGGCTGTAGGGGGCTTTGCTGTTGTGGCGGTGGGTGGGTGGGTGGGTTGGTTGGTGGGTGGGTGGGTTGGTTGGTGGGTGGGTTGGTGAGTCCAGTACAAAGAGCGAGCAATAAAAAGAGAAGGGGCCACAGGAATTCCGCAGACAGAAGCCCGAAAGGCGATGCTCGTGGGTCAAGGGGAAAGGGAGAGAGTCGAACTCGCTAGCCTACTAGCGTAGGGACTACGAGCGGGAGCACGGCGAGGGAAAAAGGAACAAAAGTGAATGGAATAGAGAGTCAATATGAATCCTGGAGAGCAGTGATTACCTTGAGTCCAGCAGTTGGGTGGTGCATGGAACGTCCGTCCCCGCCCCACATCTCCTTTTATAAGGCCACGTGGGAGGGCGTGTGGCAGTTTGGTCGTGTCGGAACAGTTCTCTGTGGTGAATACGATGTCTTTAAAAAATAGCGGTGCTACTGTGCCTCCGGAAATACAATCAACGCAGAGCCGCTTGCGCATCCCGAGATTTAGCAGCGAACGGGACCCCACCCTGCGACTTGCAGACGCCTTGAAACACCTCCCTCTTGGTTTTGCCCATCGCTCCTCGCAGGTGTCAGCCCACGATCCCGACCGCCCGTCATCACCGCCGCCGTCATCGCCGTCAACGGCAGCGGCGGGCGTGCGGTACTCGCTGCGCGGCCAAGGCGCCGGCACGCACTTCTCGGTGGACGCGGTGACGGGGGAGCTGTGGGCGCGGGCGCCGCTGGACCGAGAGGAGCGCCCGGCGTGGCGTCTGCTCGCCGTGGCCACCGACGAGGGCGGCGCCGGCCTCTCGGGCTTCGCCGATGTCGTGGTCGCCGTCGACGACGTCAACGACAATGCGCCGGCCTTCGTCTGCGCCGGCGGTGAACGGGGAGGCGAAGGAGGAGCCCGGAGCGATAACGGCGAAGGCCGCGAAGGAGCTCGATGGCACCACCGCGACGATGGTGACGGCAGCGACGGCGGTGATGGAAACCGAAACGGCGATGGGCACACGATTGCCGGCATCCTGGGTCATGGTGCAGCTACTGGTGGTGCTGGTGTGGGCACGATCGGTCTTGGTGGTGGTGGCATTGGTACTGGCGGCGCAGGTGGTGGTGGTGATAAAGTGGGCGGCAGCGTTGGTATTGCTGCCAGCGGTAAAATCGGTAGCGTCGGTGCGGCCGGTGGCAGTAATGTTGGTGATACTGGGCCTGGCGTGAACGGTGGTCATCTCGGCATTCGAGGCGGTGCTGATCTTGGTAGAGGCCACCTCGGTAGTGGTACCGGCACCGGCATTGGCGACAAAGGTTCTTTATCGCGCTTCCTCACCGCTCCCCCTTCCGCCGACACTGCCACCTCCTCCGGGCTGTCCGGCTGCCTCGTGGGCGAGGTGCTGGAGAACGCCGCTCCTGGCACGGCCGTGATGCAGGTGCTGGCCGTCGACCCCGACGACCCGGGCGCCGGCGGCAACGCGGCCGTACGCTACCGCATCGTCGGTGGCGTCGGCGACGCCCCGCGGCTGTTCCGCGTCGACCCGGCCACCGGCACGGTTCGCACGGCGGCGGCCCAGGGCGGCGCCGACGGCACGGGGTCGGCGCTCGACCGCGAAGTCCTCGGCTCGCCCCTCCTGCTGCTGCTGGAGGCCGCGGATGGCGGGGGCCTCTCCGCCACGGCCACCGCCACCGTGGCGATCGTCGACGTCAACGACAACGCCCCCCGCTTCCTCGTGCCGCCCGGCGGCGTCTACCGCTGCCGCGTGCCCGAGGGCACCCAGGTGGGCGGTGTGGCCCTGACCCCAACCCCTGCCCAAATCCCCTACCCCCAAACCCTTGCCCTACAAAGTCCTGGCTCGAACCCCTAGCCCAGGCGTCGGGCAACCAAACGAATAAGAAGAGCCTCAATATGTCAAGTTCCGCGATGCATGTGGTCCTTCATAAACAACGTCACGAGGCAGTCCTTAAAGAGCCGCACGTTGCTGACCCCCTGGTCCATCTATAACTCTCGCCCGAGATTGACAACTAATTTCGTTAGAACTGCTTGTTGTGTTTAGTTTGTTGTCCTTCCCTAGCACCTCCAAATAGCATGGTTGGCTACATACAGTGCAAAAGATGTTCAGCTTACAAAAGTCGTGGCCCTAACCACTAGCCCTAACCTGACCACAAACCCCTACCCCAAACGCCTGCCCTACATAATCCCTATACCTAACCCCCATAATCCCTCCGCTTTCCCCCTAACCCTGAGCCCACTATACCCCCCTACCCCCGCGCGGCTTGGGCGCAGGTGGGCACCGTGATCGCGACCGTGTCGGCGTGGGACGGCGACGCGGGCGACAACGCCCTCGTCTCTTTCTCGGTGGAGGGCGGCGACGTGGCCGGCGCGGGCCGCACCTTCTCGGTGGAGTCGGACCGAGCGGCGCGCGTGGGCACCGTGCGCCTCGCGCGGCCCCTCGACTACGAGCGGCCGCGCGAGCGCCGCTTCAACGTGACGCTGGCGGCGCGCGACCCCGACCACGGCGACCGCGCGTCGCTGCTCGTCGAGGTGCTCGACGACAACGACAACGCCCCGCTCTTCTCGCGCCAGCTCTACGAGGCGTCGCCCGTCTCCGAGGCCGCCGAGCCGGGCCACCCGGTCGCCGGCGTCTCGGCCTCCGACGCCGACTCCGGCGCCAACGGGGAGGTGTCCTACTCTCTGGCGCCCCGCGGCGGCGGCGGCGACGACGACAGAGGAGGAGGAGGAGGAGGAGGGACGGCGCCGCCGTTCGACGTGCACCCGCACCTCGGGCTGGTGTCGCTCAGCGGGCGTCTGGACCGGGAGTCGAGCGAGCGCCACCTGCTGCTGGTGCTGGCGACGGACGGCGGGAGCCCGCCGCGGACCGGCACCGCCACGCTGCTGGTGCCCGTGCTCGACGTGAACGACAACGCCCCCGAGCCGGAGAGCGAGTACCGGCCCGTGGTGTTCGAGAACGGCCCGGCGCCGGCGGACGTGCCCGCCAACGCCACGTCGCTGGCGCTGCGCTTCGTCGACCGCGACGGCGCGGGCCGCAACGGCGCCGTGGCGTCGCTGCGGCTCGCGGAGGCGTCGGCGAGCGCCGGCGACTTCGCGCTGCGGGACGCCGGGGACGGCTCGGCGGTGCTGACGGCGCTGCGGGCGTTCGACCGCGAGGCCGGCGAGCGGCTGCTCGTGGCCGTGGTGGCGACCGACGGCGGGGAGCCGCCACGCAGCGCCACCGCCACGCTCACGGTGACCGTCGGGGACCGCAACGACAACCCTCACCAGCCTGGCAGCACGGCCATCTACGTGTACAAGTACCGCGGTGAGCGTCTGCCGGCCGCACGCTCGCCAGTGGATACGGCAGTCTCACGCTCGTCACGATCGACTCGTGCCGAAAGATTTAGCCACCTAGAAACCACCCCGCCACAACTCTGCCCCTGATCCTGCTCCTTCCCCTGACCTTGACCCTGCCCCTAATCCTGACCCTGCCACTGCGTCCGACCCCGACCCCGCCACCGTCGCTCACTCCCCGTGCCACTGCCCCCCGTGTGCTGCTGCAGGCGCGCTGCCCTCGGGGGAGCTGGGCCGAGTGTTTGCCCCAGACCCCGACGACTGGGATAACAAGACGTTCACCTACGAAGGGCAGGCACCCAGGTGAGCGTACCGAGCATGCGATTGGCAGTTCCTTCTCAGGGCCCCCACAGTGTACCGTGCGGTCTCCCGCTGCCAGTCTGTCAGTCTCTCTGAACATTCACGTTCTAAAGGAGCTGCCAGCGCAGGGAGTGAAACTCCGTGAGCAGTACAGTACAGCCGCGAAAATCCTACGCTGTATTCTCTCTTTCTAAATCGCCAGCCTGCTGTATATATATACCCATGTATGTATACTGAGCCTCTATTGCACTGACCTACCCAACCGTGCTCATCAGAGGTGCGTGAGAAGGACAACAAACTAAATACAAAAAGTAGTTCTAAAAGGAGTTTTAAATCTAGAATGGAGCCAAAACATAGAAGCTGCGTTGGCCTTCATATGTGCTTGCTAACAGTCCAATGCCCTAACAGCCTCTGGGCACTTAAACTATATAAACGATTTGTTTTATTTTACCAGGTAAGGCCCACTGAGCTATAATGTAGCTCTTTTTTTTCAGAAGCGATCTGGCCTCAAATGAGAGCTCAACGAAGTGGCTTACCATGCGGAAATTTATAGCAGCCAAATACTCTAAACACATGTTGATTATTCTTGGGTCTTTCGGTAAAGTCAAGTAGATGGGTTTAAAGAAAAGAAAATGACAGAAAACTACGACAGTTTTAATCGCAACGCAAGCGGCCGTCTTGAGGAAAAAGCATTTCAATTCTAAATGTGGAGAAAGGAGCCGGAGAAAAGTCAACACGGCCACGGGGAGAACACGCAAACTCTAAATTTACGGGATTGAAACCCACAACCTCCTGGACACCAGGTGAGGTAGTTAACATCTTGCCACCGTGGCGCCCCAACAATGCGTGTGTGCGTGTGACCGCTCGCTCCCGGCCCAGGTGGTTTTCCCTGGCGCGTGACTCCGGGGCGGTCTCCCTGAGGTTGGCGCCGCCGCCGGGGGAGCACAGCTTCCGCGTGCGTGTGGCCGACGGCGTGTGGCCCGACGCCGTCTCCACGGCGACCGTGCTGGTGGCGGAGCTCCCTGAGGAGGCGCTGGTCCAGGCCGGGTCGCTCAGCCTCGCCGGTGAGGCCTTTACCTCCCTCCCATCACTTGCCTCCATCATCCCCGCCCGTCATCTCCTTCTCCATCACTTCATCCAACCACCCCCCTCAGGTCGCTCATCACTCCCACCAAGTCACCCAGCCACCCATCCTCTCACTGGATAAACTACCGACCAGCCAACTCAGCCACCCACCATCCTGCTCAATTAAATAACCACGAACCGCGTTGCCCAACCGGCCGCCCACCAGCCCACTCATGCAGCCACCCATCTACCTGCCCACCGACGCACCCGCCCGCCCGCTCACTCACCGACTCATCCACCCAATCTTGATTTGAAGCTTTCGTGACTCCAGGAATCCATACTCTCTGTTTTTTTCAGTAAAGTCACGTGGACAGAAAAAAAAATAAAGAACACGACGTTTCGGTCGCAACACAAGCGTCCGTCATCAGGTGAGAAATAATGATCTGCTGTTGTGGCTTTATATAGGCACGGGAGGGGGGGGGGGGTTTCACGACTCTACAAACCCCCTCCCTTCCCCCCCCTCCCTGTGCCTATATAAAGCCACAACAGCAGATCATTATTTCTCACCTGATGACGGACGCTTAGTGTTGCGACCGAAACGTCGTGTTCTTTTATCATCCGCCCAATTTCCCAGCCTACCAACTAACCGCCCCTCCCACTCGCGCACCCAGCTCAATCGTCATTTCTTATTTTCCGGGTCGACTGCTGATGATGCCCCTTGCCCCCTGCCCCGTGTGACCCGACCCCCTCGCGGCGGCCGCAGACACGACCGCGGAAGACTTCCTGTACGACCCACGCGACGGCGTGAGCCGCTACGAGCTCCTGCGCGCCTTCATCTCCTCCGAGGTTTTCGGGCTGCGGCGGCGACGACCGCCGCCGCCACCGTCGTCGCCTTCGCCGGCGGCGACGGGCGCGAGCGTGCACTTGTTTGCCGTGAGCGACGCGCCGGGCACGCCGGGCCGCGTGGACGTGTGCTTCGCCGTGCTCGGCGCCGCCAGGGCGTTCCGCGCCGAGCGTCTCAACGGCAACGTGGCCATGCACAAGGCCAGGGTACGGCCGCCGGGTCTCGTTGCTGCCGCCGCCGCCGCTGCCACTAAAACTACATCAATAGATCCGTGGGCGCCGGGTGTCGAGCCATTAGGCAAAGCATTTAGAGATGTGATGATGTGTGCAGCGCGGTAATGAATGTTAAATAACGATGACAATGACGACGATTGCGGGGATCGTGATGGCCGGTGGCAGTTCGTGGCTCCGGGTTGAGGAGGGCAGCAAAGTCCACCGCGAATTTTTAGGTGGAATCATCACAGGTGGAATCATCACAGGTGGAATCATCGCAGGTGGAATCATCGCAGGTGGAATCATCGCAGGTGGAATCATCACAGGTGGAATCATCACAGGTGGAATCATCACAGGTGGAATCATGGAGAAACTGGAATTTGCTCTTCACACAGAGACCCACAGACTCATAGACTCACACAGAGACCCACAGACTCAAATGCATGGGCAGTGGCTTGATCATCAGTGCTTATTCAGAAAGAGATCCATAGACTCGCATAGAGACCCATAGACTTACATATTTAGCGAATGCTTTTACACTTGACGTTCACACAGTTAGAGCACCAGATCTTGCGTATAGACTTAGAGATACATAGGGACCCGTTGAGTAACTGGAGTTTCTTTTGATTTAAAGCTTTCGTGACTGCAGTAATTCATATTCTTAGTTTTTTTTGGTAAAGTCACTTGAAGAGAAACAACAAAATAATAAAATATATATAAAACAATAAAAAAATTCTCACGACGTTTCGACCATAACTCAAACGGTCGTCTTCAGGTGTGTTGGTTCGCATAAATTTATTTTTAAACGGCGCATTTATTTATAAAAAACGTTAGTGCCACGCGCAACGATTTGGCAGTTTATTTAGGACTAGTCCATCTATATTCTGAAAAGAGGAGGGGGGAGACGAAATTTTTTATAATGTATGCTGTCTGAAAGCCACTGTAAGCGTGAACAATCAATTAAGACCTGAAATGGTTTATCAAATCTTTCCAATGATTGCTAAGATAGAATCCATCTTCTCGGTTGAAATTGACCACTCACTCAATCACCCACATGGCCGGCCTGCTCTAGACCAATTCTTTGACCACATCAATTCCATACACCCAGCCATCAGATTTACCATGGAAGTCGAAATAGATGGCAAAATACCTTTTTTGGATGTCCTAATTAAAAAGAGACCTGATGGTTCAATGAGCCACTCTGTCTACAGGAAAGCTACCCATACGGATGCTTATCTGAAACCGGATTCCCACCACCATCCATCACAGAAGAATTCTCTCATCAAGACTCTGTATCATAGAGCCCAATGCATATCCGACCAGGAACACATAAGCAGGGAACTCAAGCACGTACACCAAGCTCTTAGGGCTAATGGTTACTCTGACTATACAATCCGCAAAGCTATCACTCAAACCATGAAGAAGAACCCTCTTGAGGAGCCTTTCAAAACCATAACTTTACCCTACATTGCTGGGATCACAAAAAAGATCTCCAAAATCTTGAATAAACACAAGATCCAGGTCCGTTTCAACACATTACATAAAATCCGTGATCTGGTTCCGTCTGTAAAAGATGTGATTCCGGACATACAATACCCTGGTGTCTACAAACTAAGTTGCCTCTGTGGTAGTAGTTACATTGGAGAAACCAAACGCCATGTCTCGGACCGCATTCGTGAACACAAAGCAGACCTTAAACACGGTAGGACCAACACCTCGGCCGTGGCAGATCATTGTTCTAATTCAGTAGGCTCACATGCCATTGACTTTTCCAAGACAGAGGTTCTTTGTAAGCCATCTGGCTTCCATGAGAGATTCGTTCATGAGGCTATCCACATATACAAGCACAGAGACAATTTCAACCGAGAAGATGGATTCTATCTTAGCAATCATTGGAAAGATTTGATAAACCATTTCAGGTCTTAATTGATTGTTCACGCTTACAGTGGCTTTCAGACAGCATACATTATAAAAAATTTCGTCTCCCCCCTCCTCTTTTCAGAATATAGATGGACTAGTCCTAAATAAACTGCCAAATCGTTGCGCGTGGCACTAACGTTTTTTATAAATAAATAAATGTGCCGTTTAAAAATAAATTTATCGAACCAACACACCTGAAGACGACCGTTTGAGTTATGGTCGAAACGTCGTGAGAATTTTTTATTGTTTTATATATATATTATTATTTTGTTGTTTCTCTTCAACGTGACTTTACCGAAAAAAAAATAAGAATATGGAGTTTCTTTGTTTTACAAAAATCAATTCATATACTATGCATCACCGGAAGCTAAGCAGGGTAGAGCCTGGATAGCATTTTGATGGGAGACTGCCTGGTATTACAGGGGGTTGTAGGCTTTGGCTGTGAGGATGGCGGTGCAGGAACGGATTCTTGAATCTATCTGTGCAGAGCTTTGCATGTTATCCGCTCGAAAGTTTGGTGGGTTTTCTAAGGGTACAACGGGGAGAGTGTCTCTTACTGGACCAGACGGGAGAGTTGTTACGTTTGTTGATGGTCTTGTGGTCCACCGTTGACATTGATGCTGTCAATGAGGTTATAGTTGTTGTTGTTGTTGTCGCCTTGTGGATGTTGTGGTCCAGCTGGAAGAGGTTGTGAATGTGTCCGTGGCGAGGGTGGGGGGCCCTGGCCCGTGTCGGACGCCCCCCGACGGCACCGCCCCCCGCCCCCCGGTCTCGCGCTCCGGGGCCGTCTCAGTTGCCGTGGGGACGGTCGCCGTGGTCACCGACTCCGTGCGGGAGGACGAGCGAGACAGTGGCCCCGTGTGCCGGAACGGAGGAATCCGCATCGCACCCTCCACTTCCTCATACGGGTGACGCCCGCTCTCGTTGTCACCCACTCACTCATTCACTACCTTGACCACTCACTCACTCAATCACCCACTCACTCACTCACTACCTTGACCACTCACTCAATCACCCACCCACTCACTCACTACCTTGACCACTCACTCAATCACCCACTCACTCACTACCTTGACCGCTCACTCACTCAATCACCCACCCACTCACTCACTACCTTGACCACTCACTCAATCACCCACTCACTCACTACCTTGACCGCTCACTCACTCAATCACCCACTCACTCATTCACTACCTTGACCACTCACTCACTCAATCACCCACCCACTCACTACCTTGACCACTCACTCACTCACTCATCCACCCACTCACTACCTTGACCACTCACTCAATCACCCACCCACTCACTCGCTACCTTGACCACTCACTCACTCAATCACCCACCCACTCACTCACTACCTTGACCACTCACTCAATGACCCACCCACCCACTCGCTACCTTGACCACTCAATCACTCAATCACCCACCCACACACTCACTCGCTACTTTGACCACTCACTCAATCAATCACCCACCCACTCACTCACTACCTTGACCACTCACTCAATGACCCACCCACCCACTCGCTACCTTGACCACTCACTCACTCATTCACCCACCCACCCACTCGCTACCTTGACCACTCACTCACTCAATCACCCACCCACTCACTCACTACATTGACCACTCACTCAATCACCCACACACTCACTCACTACCTTGACCACTCACTCACTCACTCACCCACCCACCCACTCACTCGCTATCTTGACCACTCACTCACTCAATCACCCACTCAGTCACTCGCTACCTTGACCGCTCACTCACTCATTCACCCACTGCCCTGTTCACTTTATCATGCTCACTCACTCCCTCGCTGCCTTGCTGACTCAATAAGTCAGTCACTCGCGCGCTCACTTATTCACTCACTCACCCACTCACTCAATCATCCACTTGCTTACCTACTCACTTGTCCCGTTCGCACACTAACTCACTCGCCTTCTCACTCACTCTCTAACCCACGTATCCAATTGTTTGCCCATTAACTCGCTCATAAACTCACTCTCCTACTCTATCACCCTTTCACTCGCTCACATCAAACTCTCTCGTGTACAATCTTGATTTATATTCACGCTCCCCCCCCCCCCCGCGCCCCGCACCCCCACCCCTCCATCAGTTGCGAGTGTCCACCGGCTCTGGACGGGCCGCTGTGCGAGCGCACCCAGCGGTGGTGGAACGCCAGCGAGTCCTCGGGGCCCGGTTCGGTGAGCTACGCGTGGTTCCCGCCGCTCCGCCTGGGTCCCATTGCCGCCGCCGCAACAACCGCCGCCAGCCTCTCGCTGGAGTTCCTGACGGGCGATCCGGACGGACTGCTGCTCTACGCCGGCCCGCTCACCGCCCCGGGAGCCAGGGATCGGCGCGACTTCATCGCCATCGGTAGGCGGAGCGCGCCGTCCTCCTCCTCCGACTCCCTCCCAAGCGTTTGCCCGGGTTGTTTCCCGCGAAATTGTGCGCATGCGACGTCCGACGTTTCGTTTCTCTCCTCATCATGTTTGCAGCTTCTTCAGGAACTTCTGCACGAGCCCCCACCCACCCACCCCCACCCCACACCGCCCCCTCCCTCCCCCGGCCGGTGCACGGAGGTGATGGGTCACGGAGCGAAACGTCGGACCGCGTTCAAAATACTTTCGCGCGTGCCGTTTTTATCCCCGGCAGCTACCCATCCGTCGGCTTCCACCCCCGCGAATTAAATTCGTACGGAGGCAACGGCAGCATACTACACGTTGTCGCGTAGCCCACGCACGCACGCACGGCCCATTGAATCGTCACGTCGGCGCCCTTGCAGAGCTGCGGAAGGGCGCCCCGACTCTGAGCATCGACCTGGGAAGCGGAACCCTGCTGCTGAGCGACGGCGCCGGCACGCGAGGCCTTGCCGACGGGAGGTGGCACCACGCTGAGGTCTCCGTCAGCGGCGCGGTGAGCGGTCTGCGCCCTCAATCACGGCAGGGTGCATTGCTACGTCAAGGCACGGCGCTGCAATTGCTTTGCCCGCGCCACTGCTGGCGGATGCCTCCACTAGAGAGAGAGAGCGAGAGAACCCCTCTGGAGTTTGTTTCGCACCGGCGAGTACGTCGTCTTGAAGGAGGTGGGAGTCACCCGCGCTTTACCCCACCACACGCGGCCTGTCGAGAGACCAACTGTGGCGTGCCCATCCATGTCGCCGGCTGGGCAGAGGCAGCAGGCGGCCCGATTCAAGAAGCTCGCTCCGTTGTTTTCATCCGCCGCGCCGGCAGATCGAACCCCCATGATGCGCGCATCGTGGGGAGGCCCTCGCCCAGCGATGAATTGACTGACAGAGGGGCATGTGCGACTATGTCCACACGATTGCCGTCTATTTGTACATACGCGTGTACATGCTGTGTACACGTGCACGGGTGCCTGTGCACGGCGAACAGAGTGCGATGCCTGCTCACAGCGAACATGGTGACGAATATCTGAACGGGGCCTCCCCTAGGTCGACTCAACCTGAAATCAAAACCTGCCATGATGTATAAACATCGGCACTAGGGAAATAAAGGCGACCGGACGTGGTGTTAGTCACACCACACCCCTCGTGTGCCGTGCCGGCCCTCATAAGTGCTCGCCAACAGCACTTGCCACAACGGTGTGTTCAGGCTATCAGGGGGATCTTTGTCTTGTGTGCGTGCTACAGGACATCATCTTCACGCTGGATTGGTGCGAGGGCCAACGCCGGGACGGTGGAGCCTGTGAGGCCCATGGCATCATCCCAGGCGAAGCCAGGTATGACCCACAGCCTTACTCGCTCACCCACTCACTCACCCAATCGCTCACCACTTACTCACAAACTCATTCACTCGTACACTCACCCACCCACCGACAAACCCTTTCACTCACTTACCCGCTCACTCACCCACTCACCACTCACTCACTCACTCGCCAAATGAGATGATGGGTTTTATTCCACCCGTGGAGAAAAATAAAAGTTTATAATGTGCACAAAAAATATAGTGAAATTTGACATTTGACCTCGTTACTTTCACCGTGGTTTTTTATGCTGCTGCCGCCGCCGCTGCTGCCGCTGCTGCTACTGCTGCTTCTACTGCTGCTGCTGCGCTAGTTCCCTGGACGTGCTGCAGCCGCTGCAGCTGGGAGGGGTCAAGCCGAGTCCCTCGTTCCTGTACCCTGGCCTTGCCTCTCGCTCCTACACGGGCTGCATCCGCAACGTGGTCGTCGACGGAGAGGTAGGCGCCCACGCTCACCCGCACGCTCACCCGCACGCTCGGCCACCCGCACGATCACTCGCTGACTTATACACTCACCTGCACACTCACTCGCTCAAAGACAAAGATCCCCCGTGTAGTCCTAACAGCATGGCACACGAGAGGGTGGGTGGCCAGCATCACGCCAGATTGCAGTGGCAATTAATTACACACCGCACCAGGTACTCATTTGAAGCTGAGTCGACCTAGGGGAGGCCCACGAATCATTCCCATAATGTCACTTTTGTTGGCCATGAGCGGGAATCGAACTCGGCTCATTGGGTTCTGAGCGCAGCATGCTAACCGCTACACTACCGCACCCCATTCGCTCGCTCACTCACACACTCGCACACATGCTCACTCACACACATATGTACACTCGCTTACTCACTCACATGCTCCTTCGCTCGCTCGCTCACTCACACACACTCTCAATCTTTGTCACTCGCCCACTCACTCTCATTCAACATTCGCTCGCTCGCTCACTCACTCCGCGCCGTACCACTCACAGCTGCTGGACATGGAGACACCGGGCGAGGCCGAGGCTTCGGGGCCCGGCTGCTCGGCGTCCGACTCCGCGTGCACCCCCGTGCCGTCGCCGGGGGGGTCTCCCGCGTGTGGAGGGCACGGGGAGTGCGAGGGACCCACGCCCCCCTCGCTGGGGACGGCACAGAGCCAGCCGGCCTGTCGTTGTCGGCCCGGACACAGCGGCGCTCTTTGCAAAAGAGGTAACGGACGCATTGTCATCATTCACTGGCAACGAACGTGGGGACGGTGTTCTTTGCTGTGGCCCGCGACCCGCTCTACCTGCCCTCCACTGACTACCTGCAAACGGGCACCAATAAAATTTGGTGAGGGTGCCTCCCCCCCTCGCCCCCCCCCCCTACGCCTTATGTCCCCACCAGCGGAATCATGAACATCACCATCACCATCATCGTCGTGGGTCATTAGATATCCAACTCTCACCAATCCGTCCAGCTCCGGCGTGCTGGCTGATTTCAATGCAACGTCTTTGTGCTGCGTTCCCCACAGATGATGCGTAAAAACAGAGTCGTGATTTTTTTTCTTTATCCAAGCGATAACCGGTAAACTAAAATATAACTTCACTAGCTGATAGCCGCAGTACTATACACAACCGTTGGCTTGATTGTTTGTTGAGGAGCACTTCTGAGGTTTTTTCGCTCCAAGCGCGTACTATTTTTATTTTACCAGGTAAGGTCCACTGAGCTACATAGCTCTCTTTCAGCAGCCACCTGGCCACAAATTATTGCTCAACGAAGTGGCTTTGTCACGTGGAAATGTAAAGTAGCCAAATACTGTAAACGCGTGATGTTGATTATAAATGTGGAGGGAAAAGCGGAGACACAAGGTCGGGGTCGAACCCCCACAACCTTCTGCGTACCAGGCGAGGGAGTTAACATTCTTGCCACCGCGGCATTGTTCACCGGTTGCATTGTTCACCTGACCGCCCACAGTGCTGAAGCCGTTCACGGTGGCTGTGGGCGGCACTGCCCGGTTCCTGCTGCCCGCCTCCGTGGCGCCGTCCTTGCGATGGACGCACCTCCAGCTGCTGCTGCGCACGCGCGCACGCGACGCTCACGTCCTCTCGGCGTGCTCGCCGGACCGCTCGCACTACGTCTCGCTCGCGGTGAGATGCGCGCGCGAAACGCTCCCGCTCAGTGAGGCCCCCGCTAGGGTCGGGGGCCCTTGTTGGAGGCACGGGACCGGCACGGCCGACATTCTGAGTTCGAATTCTGGTTTTGGACGCCGGTGATTAAACCGGATGGTGGTCTGAGAAAGGTCAACAATGGTTGCAAAAAAAAACATCAGATTAATTGGGCTAAATTCCAGCTCTGTAAAAAAAAATTACATACGGAAGAAAAAAAATCACATGAATCAGAAGTCACTTGTAAGGATCTCAGTTATATGATATCAAGAGTTCAAAATTCTCAGCGGCTACCCTCGAAGATCCTGGCTTCAAATCCAGGATTACTCTGCTTGCGGTCAAACTGGGTTATCGAGTGTGGCAGTGGAGCCCTTCATCTCGAAGTGGATCGATCACGGCCGCCCCATGCTGACGACAACGCGTCACGTGTAGGTGTGCGATGGCCACGCCTGCGCTCGCCTCGCTCTGCCTGCCGCCGGTGGCGCCGGCGTCGTGGAGTCACGGCTGACCCTGACGGACCCCGGGGGAGCGGGCCTCGTCTCGGACGGGCGGTGGCACTCGCTGCAGCTGTGGCGGCACGGGGCGGAGATGACGCTGCGCGTGGATACGGGCGGGCGGCGCCGGGAAAACCGCACCAACACCAGGAGACGCGGCGGCGGCGGCGGCGGCGGCGGTGGCCACACTGAGCTACAGCTGGACCCGGCCGGCCTGCTCCTAGGAGGCGTTGGGCCTTATGGGAACCCCACGAGCTTCAAAGGTGCGTTATGCGCATGTGCGCGTGTACACGTGGGGAAGCGGTCGTATGGTGGTACGTACCCGACGACCCGAGTTCGATTCCCGCTCATGGCCAACATTGGTGAAGATTATTCAAGCTCTTGAGAGTATGTATGCGGGGGGCCTGTGCCTTCTGTGAATACGATTACCTGAACCGCTCCTGGGCCTTCCCGAGGTCGACTCAGTCTTAAATCAGTAGCTGGTGCGGTGTGTAAACACCAGCATTGGGAAGACAAAGGCGGCCAGGCGGAGTGCTGGCCACCCACCCTCTCATTTGTCGTGCCGGCCTTCATAGGTGCTCGCAAACAGCACTTGCCCCAAGAAATCTTAAAAATGGTCTGTGCCCACAATAGCTATCTTAGTATTGCATGCGGGAGGTGGTGCAAATGCCTATGTTGATGCGCCTGGGGTGACTATTAACACTCCTCATATTTGTTGTTGTTGTGGGGTGCGTGCGTGCGTTTGTGAGCGCACGTTGCAGGCTGTGTGCGGGACGTGCGCTTTAACGGGCTCCCCCTGTCGCTGGACGCCGCTCCATCCCCCGCGTCGGGGTCCAGGGTCCCCGTCTCCTCCCCCGTCCCCCGCATCTCGGCCGCCCGTGGCATCAGCGCCGGCTGTGTCTCCGACTCCTGCAGCAGCCGGCCGTGCCCCCCACCGTTCCTCTGCGTCGACCTGTGGCACCTGCATCAGTGCAGGTGGAAATCATGCTGGCGGGGTGGGGGGGGGGGGTGTGTGGGCCCTCGAGCATAGTCCCGAAACATCAAGCTTTTTTAAACAAGAGCCCTGCATTGGTAAAACAAACATTAATTCGAGACCCAAAGTTCGTACCTCCTGGCTTTGAAATTCCTCCCCCACGCGCCATACTGGCGGTGGAACCATCAACCGCATGAGAACATCAACAGCAGGCCAACGCGCACATCAAGCCACAAGTGTGATGATCGTGGCAAAGCAATCCAGACTATGGACCATACAGTAAACCCATGGAGACACATAAAGACCCATAGAGACCCATATAGACATAGGGGTACATTAAAGACAAGCCACAGTATTACGATTGTGGCCACACAACCTAAACTATGGACCGTATAAAGAAACAACTGAAGTCTGTGCTCCTTCAACGGAGCAGGAACAGCCAAACCACACGAACTCTCTCTTGTCAATGCCAGCAGACCTCAACATTGACATTTCGCTGCTATTGCTGCTAAAGGCAAGAGTGGAACTGAATGTATTTTCCCTGCTATAAGCATCAATAACATACCAATTTTGGGTGTTTTGAGCCCTTCCTCTTTGGAAAGGCCTAATAATAATCATCTACAGCCCTTTGTCAATCTACTGTCTAGATGAGGGCCTCCGGATGCTGCACGTGACGTTGTGGGTTATTTGACTTCGCTCCGCTGGTTGGTGCGGGTTGGCAATGAAGGGAGTGGGCCAGCTAGAGTGGTCGCCAACTATTTCACCCTTTCACGTACGTCATCAGAAGTGAATCGGAAATCAAAGGCCATGCGGGAGGGCGTGTGGCACAGTTTGGCGCCAGCTATCGTAGAGTGCGGTTGTGTCGCTACCGTTTTCTGTGGTGAGTAAGATGTCTTTAAAAAAAACAGCGGTGAATGGGAGCCCACCATGCGACCTGCAGACGTCTCGGAAGAGGAAAAGGTTCATTGGTAAACATTCCTCGCCTCCCAATGCGAAAACTTCAGGAGGACCCTCCTGACAAAGGAGGGCCTTGGGACTCAGCGAACCTCTCGTGGGCAAACGAGCGGAATAAGAATATATCCCTTACCCTTTCCCTCTCAATCCTCCACCCATACTCGTCCGACACAGGTGCCCCGCGGGACAGATGCTCCTGCCGCCCGCCAATGCGAGCAATCCCATCGCCGCGGCACGGGCCCCGCCACCGCCGACCTCCTCCTCGTCCGCCAGCTCCCCCGGAATCTGCGTCCCGGATCCGTGCTCCCGCGCCGCGTCGCCTCCGTGCCGCAACGGCGGCGCCTGCCTCCCCGAAACGCCCACGGCCTTCTCCTGCCGCTGCCGCCACGGCTTTGCCGGCCGCCGCTGCGAGGCGCCCGTGGCCGGCGTGCTGCTGGCGGCGGGCGCGGCCGAGGGAGGCCCAACGATCCCGGCCGTGGTCGCGGCGAGCGTGTGCGCCGTGGGCGCTTTCGGCATCATAGGTATCGGATGACGAACGAGCAGCGGCAGCAACAAAAAACGAACGCGATACGCGGCGCGCGTGACCGCACGTTCCTGTGCCACGCGTGCGCCACGAACGTGCGCCACGCGCGTGGCACACGCGTGGCCTCAGAGTGCACCTAGCCCGGCGCGAGGAAGGATAACGATTTGCATTTGAAGGGTGTGGGCTCAAAGCGCCTCGAAGCATTGCAACTCAGCTCAGCCGTCTCTTTGTCCTGCTGTCTGGGGAGACGCCCTGATGGCAGCTGCCCCTACGCAGCACGGAGGTGCATACGCAGTGCCGGCCTGCACATGGACCTGAGTCTGCGCGGGGTCGTACCGATGTCGCCGCCGCTTAGTACAGGACGGAGGCTGCTGCTTTTACATATGGCCTCAAAGTGCACCTAGCCTGGCACAAGCAATGCGGTCATGTCACCTCTACTCAGTGGTGAAATTATTGTATGAGTTCACTTCCTGCCAATGTACAACTTCATTGGCAAGGGCTATCTGAACCCGTCTAGGGGCTTCCCTAGGTTTACTCGGCCTTAAATAAGTGGATGATATGTGTGTATGGACATCGGCATAAGGCCAGGCACGGTGCTGGCCTTGCCACGTTCCTGTGCCGTGCCAGCCTTAGTAGGCGCTGGCGAACAGCACTTGCCCCTATTATCTGTAAGGTTCTCTCTAGATTTGTTGTATGTACAGTACTGTATACATTATATTGGTTAAAATAGGGCACATTCTGATTGGGGTTCATGAATAACTGGTTGAGGTGTCGATGTTGTTAAGCTTGTCTGTAGTTTTTATTACTTTTTGTGGAAAACAATGATAAGAATATAACTCAACACCTCCGCCGGTAACACTGCGTGGCCTTTTAAAGAATAAGGCGACGTTTCGGGCGATGGCCCTTCTTCATAGCACGTGTGTTATTCATAACACACGTGCTATGAAGAAGGCCTTATTTTCAGTCCACAGTGTTTTTGATGAACGTGTTTTTTTTCTTTTCATTCCACCTGTGCTTGTGTACCACTGCCAACGCAGCGACATCACCAGAACAATGTCAATAATAACAAGAATGGCTTCGAGAGCAATTTGCTCTGCGCATTCGATCGCTCGTGAACTGGTTGTTAAAATTCTCACCTTCTGCGCCTTCGCCTCCGTCGTGATGTCTGTGACCCATCGTGCGTGTCGCCTCTGCTGTGCGGGATCGTGTGTTTCCATCGCCTTATGACTGTCCGTCTTTTTCTGTTTCTCCCAAAGTCGCGTCGTTTGCGAGCGGCGACGCGTTTCATTTCGTTTCGCGCGTGTGGGCAGCCTCGCACCGCGTTTCTCTCCCCGCGCTTCAAGTAAGGCCTTGCGTACGACTGTCGACGGTGTCGTCTTGTCATTTCTGTTTTGTCTGTGTTTTGTGCGTCTGCCATCTCGCTGCGCGAGCATCAGAGTTCGTGCGACCAAGCGTTCCGCTTTGGCCGGTGGCTTTGGGAGGGTCGTGTCCCCTGCGTCTCCCGTGAAGCTTGAGCGGGGGGGGGGGGGGGAAAAAATCGAGATACATTTTTTTGCCGCACGTCTAAAATGTTGTGGCCTCGTTGCTCACCTCGTGATGCTGCACTGGGATTGTCGGGACCCACGCTGCGAGTCCAATTCGATCTCCTGGCGCGGCAGCTGAAACAATTGCCTCGGCGGTCGATGGGCAGGTCACATGTGGCGGGGTAAAGTGCGGGTACTCCCACCTCTTCTCTCCTGGGATTCTGGTCAGAGTGAAAGCGGAGACCAAATGCTATCCAGCTCCATCCAGTGAGGACCCTTCTGCCAATGGCGTGAGCAAGCAATTGCAGGGCAGCACCTTTACCATTTTTCTCACTCTTTTATAAGGCTCGGTGGCAGCGTGCTTGACTCAAAATTGTAAGGATGTGAGTTCAATTCCTGGTCGGGGACTGACTTATTCATCAAAGGGCCCATAAGATAACTACCACTTTGGGGGAAGTCTACAGAGATCATCCTGATGGAGAGACTGACCTACTATAATCCAGGTGAATGTGGAATTTCCACCACTGGTTAGGAATTATCTATCACTACTGCGTGGGTGTTCCCCTTCACGCTGTATCCCTCTGCGATGCGTTTTCTGGTTGTGCCGCGTGTCGTTCGGCACGATGTCCGACGTTTCGCTCCCCGTGCTGGGAGCTTCTTCACGGAGAATAGACTCCAGATCCTGAAGAAGCCCCCAGCACGTGGAGCGAAACGTCGGACATCGTGCCGAATGACACGCGGCTCGACCCGACAACGCATCAGAACGCCACCTAAACATTCTTGTTGGTAAACTGCTCTCAGCCAGCGTTCCTACACTGCTGCCATCGAACCGTGGAAATATTGCGGTGTTTGGATATTAGTAACAGGATAATAATGCATGTTTGTTTAATTATGTATTTGTTTTAAATAAACGAGCGAGCGGGTTTTGTTCTTTCACAATCGTCTGTGTGTACGTTTTAAACGGACGTTGATTTGCCCGCTTCAAGACGATCCGTCAATCGGCAAGCCAGAACACCTCTCTGGAATTTATCATCGGCAATTCCTCAATTCAAACCAGTCGGTAATTTTGGTGAATTCCCTAAGTCACAAGGAAGTCACAATCATGCGCTTCAGGTTTCAGAAGCTTAGCTCCATTGTTGTACTGCACTTTTGCCGAACGTCTATGCTCCTCGCCAACCCCGTACTGAGCAGCGTGGGGAAGTATGGTCAAATACCCCCTCAAGGTGCGGCGAGGCCCTCATCCAGCAGTGGATTGACAAAAGGGCTGTACACGTGCTGCAATAGCTCTGCTAATCTTGCAAACCCTTAAATGGAAGGTCAAAACATACCTATTCGTCGCGGAAATTGAGTTGAGAAAGATGAAAAGTTCGTTGAGTAACCGATTTAAAAGATTCAGCACTCGGCGGTGCCAGGGCTTAATGTTGAACAGGTTTCATTGGTTGAATATCCATTGATATTTAAATCATCGTTCAAATCAACCGCCTTCATTTGCTGGCCCCTATGAGACCATAAGTTATCAACGTCCGCTCGTTTATACGCAGTAGAATAAACTAACACGTGCTCTCATAAACCTCTAAGGAACATGCCGTACACATATTGCTTGAAGCACGCTATGGTAATCCTGACGTAACTTATTGTATACGTACTGATATGGTAATAACACCCACCTTCCCTTCTGCCTCATTCCATCGGTCGACCGCATTCTCCCCCCCCCCCAACCTCTGTTTTATTGTAGTGGTTTTGTCCATCCTCGCTTGCTGGATACGGGCGCGGAGCAAGCGTGGACCACACCACTCACGGGCGCGGGGGAGCAGCGTGGGAGACGTGCGTGAGAACGTCGTCTCTTACAACGAGGAGGGCGGAGGAGAGGATGACCAGGTGAACTGCACTGCATGTAGTGTGGTGTGTGTGGTGTGTGTGTGGTGTGTGTGTGTATGTAGTGTGTGGTGTGTGTGTATGTAGTGTGTGTGTGGTGTGTGTATGTAGTGTGTGTGTGGTGTGTGTAGTGTGTGTATGTAGTGTATGCATGTAGTGTGTGTATGTAGTGTGTGTATGTCATTAATGTATGTATGTAGTGTATGTATGTCGTGTATGTATGTAGTGTATGTATGTAGTGTGTGTATGTAGAGACGTGCGTTGAGATTATTTAGATGACTTTGCTGCTATAAATGTCCACGTGATGAACCACTTCGTTGAGCTATCATTTGTGGCCAGGTCGCTTCTGAAAAAGACGCTCATAGCTCAGTGGGCCTTACCTGGTAACATAAACATATATTGTTTAGTTTTATTTGTATATATATATTTTTTAAGTGATTTGTTTACCTTTCCTATACTGTGCACTCCTATTGTGTTTGCATTGTTTGTTGTAACATTCTGACCCGCCCCTGATACACGTCTGTGAAGGAGCTTCATAGCTCATTGGATTCCTACAGTATAAATATTATAATTCTGTATGTTGAACTTCTTTCGCACCGTACGTAGCCAACCGTGCTAATCGGAGATGCGGGAGAAGGACAACAAACTAAGCGCAAAAAGCAGTTCCAAACAAATTAGTTTTCAATCGAGATTTAAACGACGTGCGTAGCTCTAACGGCTTCCTAATATCGGAAGGAAGAGCGTTCCAGACGACCGCAGAAGCGCATCTGAAAGCGCCGCGCGATGCGGTGGTCACCGTTTTTGGTTGATGGCCAGCCAAAAGCCGCTGCTGCGAGGATGACCACAGTTTGCGTGATGGCTTATGCTCCTTGACATCATTCTGGCTTGCTTTGCCAAGTAATTAGGTTCAATATTGACATGCTGATTAATTATATCCTTTCATTCAACTGATCACTTGAGCCCACTGAACTGCTCTGTAGTACTGGGGCATACGATGCTGCCGTGGTTTAATGGTTACCACACTGGATGAGAAATCCAGAGGTCGCCAGTGCAATTCCATCTGCTGGAGCAGTAGATGAAAAAATGGTGCAAGATTCTTGAATTTGCCTCGCAGGATAAATTTGTATGACACGTTAAGTCGATCAGCGATTCTCGAGTGTGGGTGTTTACCGCCTCTCCAAAGACGTCTTGTCAGTTTGGAAGAGTAGGCCAAAAACACGCTCTTGCTTGACTCACAGTTTGAAGGTTCAGCAGTGGCCTGACAAAGGACTATCACGGTGGCGAGATGTTAACTACCTCACCTAGTAACCAGGAGATCGTGGGTTCAAACCCAACCATGATGCCTGCATATTTGGAGTTAACATGTTCTCCACCGTGGTCGTGTGGATTTTTGTCCGGGTTCTCCGAATTTTCCTTCCACATTTAGAATCAACATGCATTTAGAGTATTTGGTTGCTATACATTTCCACGTAATAAGCCACTTCGTTGAGCTATCATTTGTGGCCAGGTCGCTTCTGAGCAAATAGTTAATTGGACCTTACCTGGTAAAATAAAATAAAAGTTGAGGTTATGCAATTGCAAATGACTAAATGAAACCAAGCAAATGGAACCTATTCGAGAGGATGTCCATCCAGCAGTGGATGGACCGTGACTGACAACGGCCATGACGATGATGAAACTTGACTGCTTGACTCGCTGCATTCACCAGAACTTGTTCAGCATGGCTGAGCTGCAGAGGCCGCTGCAGGTCCTTGAGTCTCGGCCTACGGCGGACGGCGAGGGCCCTCCTCGCTTCTCGCCGTCATCGTCGTCGTCTCCCGGGGCCACCTCGTCGCCGTGCGACGGGGACCCCGAGGGCCCCGCACTCCCCTCCCGCTCCGACGCGTACTTCTCCGTCATTCGCGGTCGCCCCGGATCGGGTTACGCAGCCCGCTCGTCCGGAACGACGCAGAACGGCGAGCCGAGTGGAAATCCGGAAACGCACTTCAAGAACACGGAACTGTGCGGTGGCAGGAACACGGAACCGTACGGCGGAAATCAGGAATTGCACGGCAAGAATTCGGATCCGCAAAGTCAAAATCCGGAATCGTACAATCAGAACCCAGAACTTTATAGCCAGAATCAGGAATTGCACAGTCAGAATATGGAACTGTACGGCATGAATCACGAAGCACATGACAGAAATATGGCATTTTACAGCAGGAATCCAGAACTGTACGGCGGAAATCAGGAATTGCACGGTAAGAATCCGGACACGCAAAGTAGGAATCCGGAATCGTTCAACAGGAATCCGGAATTTTACAGCCAGAATCAGGAATTGCACAGTAGGAATCTGGAACCGTATGGCAGAAATGAAGAAGTGCATCACAAGAATATTGCATTGTACAGCAGGAATCCAGAACTGCACAGCAATAATCAAGAAGCAAACAGTAAGGATCCAAAACAATATGGCGGGAATGTGAAACTGCACGGGAGCCTCGAGTTGTGTAGGAGCGCGGAATCGCGCAAGCCGATCGTGTCACTCCCAGGCTACGGTTTTGGATTTGACCTGCGCCTGCCAGCCCATGGTGGAGGAGAAGGTGGAGCGCACTTCCTGCCGACCGGAGAAACGTTATCTGGAAATCCTCCGCGCTTCCCAATACCCGGCGCCCCGGCGTCGGAGGCCGCAGCATCCAACGCCGCTCGCATCGTAACCCCCGAATCTCCGTCTTCGGCAGTTCTCCTTGGTTACGGTGGCGGCGGTTGCGGCAGTGTCAGTGGTGGCAGTGGTAGCGTTGGCAGTAGCGGCGGCGGCGGTTTAGGTGGTGGTCGCTCCGCCGCTTCGGGCCGCCCGGTCCCACCGGCTTTCAAAGCCCAGCGGCCGCCCCCGCCGGACTACAGCCATTATTTGGCTCGGATCATGGCCCGGGCCGAGAAGCAGCCGGACGACCCGCCGCCCCGGGTGTACGCCGTGGAAGGCGGTGGCACGCCGGCCGGCAGCCTCAGCACCATCACGTCCGGCGAGTGGGGGGAGGAGGAATCGGATTGTGGTGGAGGTGGCGGCGATGGCGGCTGTGGCGGTGTTCGTGGGTGCCGGGGTCTCGATTTGCATTCCACGAGTGGGGGGCCCAGGGGGGCCGTCCTAGGGGGGGAGGACGGCACGAGGGGAGATGGAGCGCGGTTGGTGTGGGTGGTGGATGCCGTCGCGGAGAAAACTTGAGCGGCGTCCGCTCGCTCGTGCGCGTCCGTTTCACTTATTCATTTTGTTTCGTACCTTTTTTTAGCACTAATTAAGTCACGTTTCCATTATGGGTGTCTCGACAGTGCTGGCTAATTTAACTAAGTACTATTTGTATTTTTTACCAGGAAAGATCCACTGAGCTACGCAGCTCTTCTTCAGAAACAACCTCGCCACAAATGATTGCTTCAACGACGTGGCTTATCATCACGTGGAAATATGTAGCAGCCAAATACTCTAAACGCGTGCTTCTCAATGTGGAGGGGGAAGCAAAAATACCTTGGTGAAAGATCCAAGCGACCACGGGGAGAACATACAAACTTCAAATATACAGCAGGCGTCAGGGTCGGGATCGAACCCACTCCCTCCTGCATACCAGGCGATGCAATTAACAACTCGCCACCGCAGCACCCTAATTGCTCTCACATGGCCATTACAAGACCCCACACACGTCGAATAATATGTTGCTTGTGTCTTAGGTCATTCTTGTGCCAAAAACTTCATGCAGTTCAGCAATAATTTCACATCCAATTGCATGCCTCTGTCCTCATGCATGTAACAGTAATATGACGATGATAGTGAACAAGCCTTTGTTAATCCACTGCTGGATGAAGGCCTCCCCGTGGAGTGTATTTTGTGGGAGGTGATTGACCATACTTCACCACACTGGTCAGTGCGGTTTGGTGAAATATTCGCAAAGAAATACGTCAGCACTTACGGAAGATAACCTAATATGCTAAACGGTTTACGTTTTATTAGCTTATATAACTTAATTAAAGTTATATTCTTAGTTTTTTCGGTAAAGTCACGTTGAAGAGAAACAACAAAATAACAAAATCTATATAAAACAATAAAAAAATTCTCACGACGTTTCGACCATAACTCAAACGGTCATCATCAGGTGTGTCGGTTTGCATAAATTTATTTTGAAAACGGCATGTTTATTTATTTATATATATAAAAATAACGTTTGCGTCACGCGCAACGATGGCAGTTTGCCAGGACTAGTCCATCTATTTTTTGAAAAGAGGAGGGGGGAGACGAAATTTGTTTTTATGTATGCTGTCTGAAAGGCACTGTAAGCGTGAACAATCAATCAAGAACTGAAATGATTTATCAAATCTTTCCAATGATTGCTAAGATAGAATCCATCTTCTCGGTTGAAATTGTCTCTGTGTTTGTATATGTGGATAGCCTCATGAACAAATCTCTCATGGAAGCCAGATGGCTTACAAAGAACCTCCGTCTTGGAAAAGTCAATGGCATGTGAGCCTACTGAATTAGAACAATGATCTGCTACGGCCGAGGTGTTGGTCCTACCGTGTTTAAGGTCTGCTTTATGTTCACGAATGCGGTCCGAGATATGGCGTTTGGTTTCTCCAATGTAACTACTACCACAGAGGCAACTTAGTTTGTAGACACCAGGGTATTGTATGTCCGGAATCACATCTTTTACAGACGGAACCAGATCACGGATTTTATGTAATGTGTTGAAACGGACCTGGATCTTGTGTTTATTCAAGATTTTGGAGATCTTTTTTGTGATCCCAGCAATGTAGGGTAAAGTGATGGTTTTGAAAGGCTCCTCAAGAGGGTTCTTCTTCATGGTTTGAGTGATAGCTTTGCGGATTGTATAGTCGGAGTAACCATTAGCCCTAAGAGCTTGGTGTACGTGCTTGAGTTCACTGCTTATGTGTTCCTGGTCGGATATGCATTGGGCTCTATGATACAGAGTCTTGATGAGAGAATTCTTCTGTGATGGATGGTGGTGGGAATCCGGTTTCAGATAAGCATCCGTATGGGTAGCTTTCCTGTAGACAGAGTGGCTCATTGAACCATCAGGTCTCTTTTTAATTAGGACATCCAAAAAAGGTATCTTGCCATCTATTTCGACTTCCATGGTAAATCTGATGGCTGGGTGTATGGAATTGATGTGGTCGAAGAATTGGTCTAGAGCAGGCCGGCCATGTGGCCAGATGACAAAAGTGTCATCCACGTACCTCTTCCATAAGGTTGGGCGCAGAGTGGCAGTCTGGATGGCGTCAGTCTCAAATTTCTCCATGAAAATGTTAGCTATAACTGGAGAAAGGGGGGAGCCCATTGGGGTGCCCTCAGTTTGTTTGTAGAAAGTTCCATTCCAAGTGAAGTATGTATTGGTTAAACAGTGTCTCACCAGGGGGGGTACCTCAGTGTTTAGTCCTTGATGAACCAAGTCTTCAATGATTGCAATGGTGTCAGGTACAGGAACCTTGGTGAATAAGGAAACTACATCAAAACTGACAAGCAGGTCGTCTGGGGACAGGGAAATACCCTTGATTGTTGATACCAGGTGAGTAGAATTTTGTACCGCAGAGGTGGTCTTTCCAGTGAAAGGACGCAGGATTTCAGACAAAAAACGAGCTAGTTTGTAGGTGGGGGAGCTGATAGTAGAGACTATGGGACGAAGAGGTGTATCAACTTTATGTATTTTTGGTAAGCCGTATAATCTTGGTGGCCTGGCAGCAGAAGGTTTCAACGAAAACTGTTTAGATTGATCAATTAATGCGGTTGAATCAGAAATTATTTTGTTGGTTTGTGTGACGAGGCTGTTGGTGGGATCTCTTTTTATTTTTGTATAACTACCATCGTCGAGTAATTCTTTAATTTTGTTGTTGTATTCTATTTTATCCATGATAACAGTAGCATTGCCTTTGTCAGCTGAGAGAACTACAATATCATTCCTCTTTTTTAATTTATATAATTCAAAACGCTCATCTTTGCTGAGGTTGCTAGCTGGCATCTTAGCGTTTTTGAGGGTTGCAGCGATTTCAGATCTTGCTACGTCTGCAGCGATGTGACCCAGGCCCCTGAGAGCAACGTCTACTTGGGCAATTATATCATTAACTGGTATGTGTTTAGGTGTGACTGCAAAGTTTAGACCTTTAGCTAAAACGGATTTCAGACCATCGGAAATAGAACTGTTACTGCGATTAATTACGACTTTATTAACGTCTAACTTTTTGGTGTGTGGGTCCGGTCTTTTGTTGAAGAGGAGGTTAAATTTGGAAATCAGGTTTTCCTTACATTTGGTCGACATAGTAGCAGCTGAAGAGGCAGTCATATTGTCTACATGTTCCCAATCCGATGTGGACATTATTGCCGTCAATGATAAGTGTGATTTGTAGAGTGTCTTGTCTAACTGATCTAGTTCTGTGCGTATAAGTCTGATTTTTTCTGAGATAAGAGCTAAGCTAGTTTTGAAAAGAATTCGTTTCGCATTAGAAGAAGTTACAGTAGCAGAGGTGAGTGTAAATGCGATTGGTATTACCCCAGAGTCGCGACATCTCTTCAGGAAGGTGAGAGACTCGATCAGCTGAGCTTTCTTATCCCGGAGTTTGTTGAAGGATCTTAAAGTTATGTGAAAACCCTCCCCGTAGAGGCGATTAAATTCTACTCACCTGGTATCAACAATCAAGGGTATTTCCCTGTCCCCAGACGACCTGCTTGTCAGTTTTGATGTAGTTTTCTTTATTCACCAAGGTTCCTGTACCTGACACCATTGCAATCATTGAAGACTTGGTTCATCAAGGACTAAACACTGAGGTACCCCCCCTGGTGAGACACTGTTTAACCAATACATACTTCACTTGGAATGGAACTTTCTACAAACAAACTGAGGGCACCCCAATGGGCTCCCCCCTTTCTCCAGTTATAGCTAACATTTTCATGGAGAAATTTGAGACTGACGCCATCCAGACTGCCACTCTGCGCCCAACCTTATGGAAGAGGTACGTGGATGACACTTTTGTCATCTGGCCACATGGCCGGCCTGCTCTAGACCAATTCTTCGACCACATCAATTCCATACACCCAGCCATCAGATTTACCATGGAAGTCGAAATAGATGGCAAGATACCTTTTTTGGATGTCCTAATTAAAAAGAGACCTGATGGTTCAATGAGCCACTCTGTCTACAGGAAAGCTACCCATACGGATGCTTATCTGAAACCGGATTCCCACCACCATCCATCACAGAAGAATTCTCTCATCAAGACTCTGTATCATAGAGCCCAATGCATATCCGACCAGGAACACATAAGCAGTGAACTCAAGCACGTACACCAAGCTCTTAGGGCTAATGGTTACTCCGACTATACAATCCGCAAAGCTATCACTCAAACCATGAAGAAGAACCCTCTTGAGGAGCCTTTCAAAACCATCACTTTACCCTACATTGCTGGGATCACAAAAAAGATCTCCAAAATCTTGAATAAACACAAGATCCAGGTCCGTTTCAACACATTACATAAAATCCGTGATCTGGTTCCGTCTGTAAAAGATGTGATTCCGGACATACAATACCCTGGTGTCTACAAACTAAGTTGCCTCTGTGGTAGTAGTTACATTGGAGAAACCAAACGCCATATCTCGGACCGCATTCGTGAACATAAAGCAGACCTTAAACACGGTAGGACCAACACCTCGGCCGTAGCAGATCATTGTTCTAATTCAGTAGGCTCACATGCCATTGACTTTTCCAAGACGGAGGTTCTTTGTAAGCCATCTGGCTTCCATGAGAGATTTGTTCATGAGGCTATCCACATATACAAACACAGAGACAATTTCAACCGAGAAGATGGATTCTATCTTAGCAATCATTGGAAAGATTTGATAAATCATTTCAGTTCTTGATTGATTGTTCACGCTTACAGTGCCTTTCAGACAGCATACATAAAAACAAATTTCGTCTCCCCCCTCCTCTTTTCAAAAAATAGATGGACTAGTCCTGGCAAACTGCCATCGTTGCGCGTGACGCAAACGTTATTTTTATATATATAAATAAATAAACATGCCGTTTTCAAAATAAATTTATGCAAACCGACACACCTGATGATGACCGTTTGAGTTATGGTCGAAACGTCGTGAGAATTTTTTATTGTTTTATATAGATTTTGTTATTTTGTTGTTTCTCTTCAACGTGACTTTACCGAAAAAACTAAGAATATGAATTACTGCAGTCACGAAAGCTTTAAATCAAAATTTAATCGCCTCTACGGGGAGGGTTTTCACATAACTTTAAGATCCTTCAACAAACTCCGGGATAAGAAAGCTCAGCTGATCGAGTCTCTCACCTTCCTGAAGAGATGCCGCGACTCTGGGGTAATACCAATCGCATTTACACTCACCTCTGCTACTGTAACTTCTTCTAATGCGAAACGAATTCTTTTCAAAACTAGCTTAGCTCTTATCTCAGAAAAAATCAGACTTATACGCACAGAACTAGATCAGTTAGACAAGACACTCTACAAATCACACTTATCATTGACGGCAATAATGTCCACATCGGATTGGGAACATGTAGACAATATGACTGCCTCTTCAGCTGCTACTATGTCGACCAAATGTAAGGAAAACCTGATTTCCAAATTTAACCTCCTCTTCAACAAAAGACCGGACCCACACACCAAAAAGTTAGACGTTAATAAAGTCGTAATTAATCGCAGTAACAGTTCTATTTCCGATGGTCTGAAATCCGTTTTAGCTAAAGGTCTAAACTTTGCAGTCACACCTAAACACATACCAGTTAATGATATAATTGCCCAAGTAGACGTTGCTCTCAGGGGCCTGGGTCACATCGCTGCAGACGTAGCAAGATCTGAAATCGCTGCAACCCTCAAAAACGCTAAGATGCCAGCTAGCAACCTCAGCAAAGATGAGCGTTTTGAATTATATAAATTAAAAAAGAGGAATGATATTGTAGTTCTCTCAGCTGACAAAGGCAATGCTACTGTTATC